TTATTACCGCATACAACTTTGACACTCGAACGCGTAGAACCCACAGTCGCAAGTCTGAGTGTAGATCAGTGTGTTTGAGGACAGCTGAAAAAGAAAACACGAGAAAAATTGAGACGACGACTAAGCAGACACATAAGATGCGCCTACAATCACAATTGAAATTTCTATGATGTGATTTATAATCCGAAACCAAATCGTTTACTCATGCCCCCAACGTATTACTTCACGAGAGAAAAGACAATTTTGTGGATCGCATAGAGTCAAAGCGCAAAACAGAATGAATCTCTCAAGATAATTCTTAGTATTTCATGTAACTTATGGTATTGTATGACTGATCAACAAAGCTTGTGTTCCCACAATAGTTATGAAAAATTGGGGACAAAGTACGAACATTCGATCACAAGACATACATAGTGAATACCAAATCGATATGATCATGTACAATCATTCTCACAATACAGGCAATCAATATGAAGATTGTAAACGAATTACGTGACTAGCCGATAAGAAAAGCGATCTTAGTAATACTTAACAAAAATAAGTATCGTAGTTGATATTCCGTAGAATAATAATCCAGAATGACTCGATACAATAGTGAATAACATGTCACATGGATCCCACTGCATTTAGATTCATTCGACACGCACCAATCACACAATGTCGAATGACAGGTCGTCACTCTGAGATCCTCAATAACATCTCATTCGCCAGTCGTATCTCAAGATTAGTACACTTCACTTCATGTGTTCTATCTCATTTCTCATAACAATCTTCAGATCAAGTCATCCACACATTGTCCATTTGATCAGTGTTGATTGGCAAGCGTGAGGTTTATGCAGTTATCTTATCATAGCATACATCATTGTTTTTCTGGAGAGCTCCACCGTGTTGTGCTTAGAATGGCTTTCTCGCGCCTTACGGGAGCCATCTCGAAGGACGCCCCACAGCCAAATGTAGTCTGACCTAAGTAAGCTGCACATAAGATAGCGAGAACTTCAAACTTTTCCTTAAGACAGTTTAAGGACGATTTGAATTGTGAAAGACTTGTTTGATGAGATGTTCTTTGATGATCAATTCCACGAATCAGTACAACCTGCAATAAAGTATGCGAACTTCGAGGTGCTTGATAATCTCGTCACTTTCAGTTTAGTGTTTATGTTTTAAAGTTCGTTACTGCCGTATTTGGAAAATTTTGAAGAATCATAATGTACCACGGTTTCATCATGATTAATTCCGAAACGTAAGGTGGGATCAAGGTCAGTTATTTCAAGTCACAAGAGATCCGGTTTCCATGTTTCGCATCTTTCTTTATAAGATGGATCGGGAGCAAGAAGTTGACTGTATTGCATTAAACTTAATGTTTAAAAGAACTCAAACTTACTGGTGCTTCTCAAACTTGATCAGTCATGTATCTACACAAACGATTGTAGGGTCAGCGAAATTCCACTGAGCCCTAGCCAAATCATCCGGTAGTTGGGTCATTGAATATCGAACATATCATCAATCCTCGTCAAGGTCAACGACAGCCAACGTGCATCAGTTGATCATACGCCATGGACTGGCCCATGCGGCAGTGGTCTCACCTCCGCTTGTATCTACTTTAACTAATATATTTATGTAATAAAGTCCTCTGTGTTGTACAGTCCTCAAAGCATCTATAGTACCTTAATACGTCAATGGTGTAATCCACGTAAGCTGATAAATTGTTGCAGTTTTAGTGCTAAACTCTATATTGTTAAGGTAATGAATAATACTCAATGTGACTCTGTGATCACTCATAAAACAATCAAGAGTAATGTGCACCAAAAAGGAATCTGTGTTACCTGGAAATTATAAGTCACGTATATTATACAGTTGGTGCAAAGTAGTGAGAAACTTGTTTGCTAGTAATTTATCAAAGTTAGTATACGCATGAGTTGGTCTGAATATGCATTCCACCAGTTGATAATTTTGTAGCCCATTATTTACAGTGACCCAAGTGGTCACATATAACATAAAGATATTCATTCTCAAATTTATGCGCCTGAATGTCTGAAGAGAGATCGATGATTGTACCACTCCCTACTTCATCAGTTTGGAAGAAAACGCGGTTAACTACGTTCAAGGAGTGACCGAAAATGAATGATTTGTACCACGTTTCCATAATAAAGACAATGGTTGGATTTTTGAGGAATAAAAGGGATTTGGGAAAAGTAATTTTAGTGGACAGTGAGTGGGCGTTGAATGAAAAGATAAGAAACTGAGAATTGTCATGATGAAGCAGGTTAGAGTGTAGATCACAATTTGTAGTTCCATGAATATTCGTAGGATGGGTAAATTGTGCCGTGAGAGGGAGTAGATTTAACAAAGTTGTAATTGATTGTAATACATTTACCAGCAGAATTTAAAAAACGTCTCTTGATTGTTATGGATTATAACGTTTTAGAAGCCGGACGAACAAGGCTATCACGCCTATGTATGCGACTAAGTGGCCGTTCATAATTCGCAATACTTTATATACCTGACGTATGTGTAACATGTTTCAGATGTTTATTTACAAAGTTTGTGGTTTGTTTTAGCTCCTTTGCGATTTGTGGAGAATCGAATATTTTAAAACATAATTGCGATGGTTTGCATTCAACTTAATGCTTAAGAGAACTCAAACTTACTGGTGCTTCTCAAACTCGATCAGTCATTTATCTATACAAACGATTATAAAACAATACGTCTTTCCTTCTTTCCACAAACCTCCCTAATTAGCATTTTAATCCGCTATTCGTAGATAACTTTCCCGTTTCTAGGACCTCATAGCGTTTGAATGCTGCTTCTCCTCTCACCTGTTGTTTAAAGTATACAAATGCCTTGCTGGGTTCATATTTCCTGATTAACAGCCGGAGTTGTTGCAGTTCGTGTCTGTGAAAGCTCCTTCATCTTACGTAATGACAGTGCAATACTGTAGACCCATGAAAATATGATCGAAACAGATGTCGTGGCAACATTGTGTTACAAAAATCACACATTATTCAGCTGAAACTCGTTCCCACATTATGAGTTCTTTTACAGTTCCTATCTACATTCAGTGTAATACTTGGATATGATTATACAACTTAGCCCTAAACAGGACATCTGTGAAAATATTGCTAATTATGGAAACGTGTCGAAGATTTAAAAAAACATTTAGTTGTCCATTCTATGGTAGCTTACAAGTAAGGTTATTGGCCAAGGTTTACCGACCTGTGAGCTGAGCAGCTTTATGAAACCCTGAATACTGGTTGTGACCCAAATTTGACCTTGAAGAAGGAATAAAAGACCGAATTGGATACAATAAATTGTTGTCTCAATATCAACTGGCAGATATCTGACAACAAGTATTGTCCAGTTTCAACAAAGGGAGTGCCTCACCACTTGAGTAGTTACAAAATGATTTTTACCCAGATTGGCAATATCTTGACACCAACCTGTCTAAGATGATGAAGTCTTGAAAGTTGAAAGCTGTGGTACGGTAGGAGCTCAAGTACGAACGTAATACAGTTGCAACGGAGTTAAGCAGGATTTTTCCATTAGCCTCGACATTCTTCTCGGTTGAGGCTTTTTGTTAAAAATCATGGAATTGAAGATAAGGCGTTTAGGGTTAAAGTTAAACGCTTAGATTTGTTGTATGGAACAGACTTAAGGGTTTATGGGCTGTACTAATGCTATATATACGCTGTGATAAGAAATGACAATTTTATATGTTTAACAAAATGCAACCTTTGGTTACCATTTAAACATTGTGAAAATTACATAGATGTTATTCTACTTCCATTTCCAAGCAATGTTGGGTAAAGTCTACTTAAATTCCAATTGAGCTGAAAACCTGAAAGATGTCTTCTCGATTATGATTGGTTAGTTCATATATTATACTTTTACCGTGGAATTCAACAGAGCTGAACGAGGGCGAAAATCAGCACTTGGCTAACTCCACTGATGAGAGTAATCGTCACACATGAGTCACTTATGTTGTTTGGAGGTTAAAAATGTAGTTTTTATCATTTATGAATAAAATTGGTTTTCAAATCCAGGATATTTGTCTAACTAATATAGAGGTTGAAGCTACAGCGTTCCTGATCTTGCCTGACGATTATATGCACAATAAAGTGCACTTTAAATGAATAGCTTAGTTTGCAATCCATTGACTGATATATGCCCATATCAATCACCAAGTTGTAGTAGTCCCATACCTACAATACATGTCCAAGCCACAGATGATACGAAGGTGCGGTGAGGTGTTCTCTTAATCTGTATCTTACGTTGCCGAACATATTTTTCAGATGCTTTTCATTGTTGTTTGATTCCATTTTTATTTGTTTGTTGTTCATGATATATTATGGACATTTAAAATCCAAAATTTTTACGATTGCAAATAAGTGAAACGATATAAATAAAAGTCTGTCATGAATATTTCCTCGTTAAACTGACGTTAGAATAGCCGCTGATCGACTTAACACTGCGAACGACAAATCGAAATTCTATTGTTTAGGTAGTTCTTACTATTATAGTTTAATCCTGTTACACAGTTCAAATTATTCTTGGTTATCTCTAACATTCATCGTTATTGTTCAGTTCGAGTGGTAGTTCATGTAACACCTGAACAAATCACATACTTTTGGCCGAATAATAGTGTCAACCATGAGTATCAATAACATGTTTTTTCAAACGCAGCCGAAAGAACAATCATTCCTATGTTTGTTTAGAACAAATTAGTGGAGTATAACAATTTTTCGGCATTTCAAGCACCAGCATATCGAATTTTGAATACATTCTTATCCCCTTCCTCAAGTGAACGAACTAGCTTTACAACTATCAGTTTTCTGAATATCAAAGTATCTTAGGTGTTCGCTTTTAAACTCAGAAACTCAATAAACATGTGTCCTTCGAGCACCTAAAACATTGTGGGTTTCAAAGAACTGTCTCTTAAAATCAGTGTACAAACACAAAGTAACCGAATGTTCCGCCAACCTCCTAGACAGAGTTTGAGGTTTGAATTATGTGGAAATTAAAATTTTGAAAGAATTTGCGGCGTCCTTGCGGAATTCGAAATCAAGGTAACATGTCTTTCTGGTACTGCATGTATTCCTTATGACAGGTACTTTTAATTTAGAGGCATTTTAGTAATATTTCCTGATGGTAAATCTCTTGTAGTGGTTTTATATCTTTTCATTACATAGCTTTAAGTCACTTCCTTTCGTCGGTCTAAATAAAGGAGTCAAATTAATAAAATACATCTTGACTCTCCTAAGCTATTAAGATGAAAAAAACAATCAGTTCATGCCACCAGGCTCCAGACACATAAGGAATGTTGAGATTTTTCGTGTAAGGATTTAAGGTCCAGGTCTCGTGTCAGTCCCTACCTACCTATTTATTGACAAGTAAATTATCCGTGGACATGCATTACTATTCTTAACAGTAAGTTTCAGTGGCTCATATCACGGTAAAGTTTCTTCATCACCTGTTTTACGATTGTGTAAAAAGTTTAATTTCCGACACATCGTTGTAAGTTAAACCAATAATACACGTGACCATAGAGTTCACCTGTATTCTCAAGTTGAATTAAGTCTCTTTATCATCAGCCCACACTTAATTTCATGACTTAAATCTTTGTAGAAAATAATTTTCACCTATTTCAAAATCTTCCAGGATTTGGCAAGCTCGAAGGGCAAACCATTTGTCCCTTGGGGTGTGCGTCTGTGTTGTAACAGTGAGTTTTGATCTATGAAGTAGTGTGATTCTTCTTTAGTTCATCAGGAATGTGAAGCAATAAAGAATGTAGTCAGTGATAGAAGATGTGGTCGAGCAACTAGACCTTAAAAGTATAACAACATTTGGGTCTTTGAAAAAATCAACTGAGGATTTCGTTACTATTTCCGCCTGCAGTGAAATGTCTAGTTAATAGAGTCCTTACGTGAACGTTCCTATATATTTCTAAATGTTTTTTTTCGTGATATACCATAGAGTGGTACCCTCTTAAATGTAGTTTCATTATCAAAACGTATTTGTCTGTTGGGACGAAGAGGTTTACAAGCAGTATAATACAGCTCGGTAATATCCCCCCGCACACTTTTGTGGCCTACATGTCCCAAATTTCATTTCACCAGACTAGCTTTGTACGATTCATTTTTAAGTCCAAGTATGTCTTTAACTTTTCTTCTTTAAACCCGTTATGGGCGACGGTCTTCTCGATGTAAGGGGATATGATGGAATTGTCTTCATATTGAGGCTCTAGGGCAAGGCTGTTCGGTATCAAACCACCCAGAATTCTAAAGGGAAACCTCACTGTAGTGTTTCCCTTATCGGCTAAAAACTTTCGGTGGTGACAAGCGTTTAGGGTTTCAAACAGATGATCGGGTCCTCTTTTACTAAGACTTAACATGTATAGGATCCATATACCACTTCTGTCGCTTAATGTTTCAACAGATGGTCAGGTGTGTCAGTGTTCGTAAAGTCAGCGTTCACAGTGATGCCTGATTTTAGATCAAGCAGTTTGACAAGTAATTACCTTCAAACATTTATGTAGGCGTATTCGAGTGGCTAGATTTCACTTTACGGCAAAATCTTGGTCTATACAGCAGTGATGTTTAAATCTTTCGTTATTAAAAAACTAAGTTACGCAAAATTGGCATCTGGCTATGCGAACTAAAGTAGATGTAATCCTATCTTAAAAAATTAATAACGGATTAAGGTAACTACTTAATTTATTTTATTGGTCCAGGGAGGCACCAAATACATATGCGCCACACAGACCTCATTTGATATGTGTGAGGGCTGTGATACTGCACGGGTGCCCAAACCGAAGCAGGTGGTTTTCTTAGGGAGCCACACTCCGAGCCTTCGACCTGAAGATTTGATCCACAAGGCAGTGGAGCATCGTAAGGAGATGCGGCCCCATGGTAGCCGGTGACCAACGACTGGCTCATACGCCATTTGTTTCTTCAGGATACTGGAGCCCATGTGCACCATTGGTTTGGGATCCGGTTAAAGCGCCGGATATTCGCTTCTCGTCCTCTTATTTTCGTAAACAACACTCGTGGTGCGAGAAGGCAGTGAGTAGGAGTTCCCTGTCAGAGGCTATATACGCGTAGCCATGTGAGAGCATTTGAAGAAGGAGAGCGGACTCTCCTTAGCCGTACCAGGGCATTTAGGGGCAAGGTAACTACTTGGAATAATTAGTCAAGATGTTCCAAAACGTTTTGGTTAAAACCTGTTCAAGAGTTGTGGTTTTAGCAACCTATATGCTCCACCTTTTTTTCTGTAGTACCTCGAGTCTATTACGGCCACCCAATGAACTCACCCTTCTACAAACATGTGATTTCTCATGTGGTATATAGTGTAATTCGGAAAACTTCGAAGGGATTTTTGCACCCATATCTCGATATCGTCAGCTCCCAATGTGTTGGGTCTGTCGAGATTCCCAAATCAGCTCTGGCACGCTAGAACCCTCTAAACAACATGTGTTACTATATATACAACTCAACTAAGTTATTACAACCCTGTTTATGTTATTTGAACACAAACTGATACAAAGGGGCACCGAAATGCATCTGTGGCGCATAATAAGAAAATGAGATTGTGAAGATTTAAATGTAGGTATAATAAATAAAAACAAGTGGATGGGTTTGAGAGAAATATAGTGGGAGAAGCTTAGTTGAAAAGCAACCACAGTGGTTCTGTTAGTTAAAGAAGTTCCTCTCACTTATTTGGAGAAAGTGAAGAAAATTTACAGCAGGATTACCGCTGGTTTCTATTCCGATAATGTCCCAATCCTGTGTTATGCCATATCTAGGACCCTAACCAGTGAATCGTGAAAGAACTGATAAATGCCAGTCCTGCATGGCTTGCTTTCATACCACAGCGCCATTTCATAAACTAGTTATCTCTGCTTTTTTAACCAGTCCCAGAGTCAGTAAATAATGCACGGTGTAGAATTCATCGGGACAACATTTGTAGTACATGTCCATGTCACCGAAGGCGGTGTTTAAAGATGGTGACACCAAGTGAGTTATCATCGCTTTGCTCGAACGGACTTCGCCGAACCTCTGAGTTACTAATATAGTATTGCCACTGAATATCAACAATCCTTCGGAGACAGATATAATCGGACACAGCCGTTTAACGTCCTTAACTTGGTGAGGCCAAGTATCACAAGCATCGAGCGAAACTGCTCTCTCACAGCTACCCAGATACACTCACTCTTGGTAATGAGCAGATAGGAGTAATTGAGGAGTTCGTGTATCTGGGTAGCTGTTTAAGTGGTGGCGGTTGCGTAAGTGAATACTATTATTATTATTGTCATTTCACTATCATACACTAATTTCTATTTTCGATCTTCTTTGTATTATACACACCTTCCTTTCTGTATCTCTTCACAATCTCATTTTTATTGTGTAACGCATATGTATTTTGGTGCACCCTTGTACCAACGACTACTTCTAACTGCTCACTACCAAGAATAAGTGCAGGCATAGGCTCCTGATAGTCGTGTAAAAGTTCTTAGGACATTAGTGCAAAGCACATACCATACCTACGGACACCAACTACCGACTGATTTAATGCGGACTACATGACTTAATTTTCATCACACAGTAAGACAATATCATCCGCGTACTCAAAGTTGAAAAGTCTTTCTCCAGTCAATGGATCCACATCAGCAGTACCTGCTTACATGAAAACGTTTTGCAGAGCATCATCGGTGGCAAAGTTGAAGGGAAATGGTGTGAGTGTGCATTTCTGTCTAACCCTACTGCTTGGATGAAACAATGGAGAAAGGTGATTATATGCCCTCACTCGGCCTGAGGTCAGTCAGTCAATCAGCTGCAACGTAGGACCAGGCACGTATATGCATCGGTCCAAGTTGCCACACCGCATTAGCACAACAAGATGAACACCGGATTCATAGAAGTAGTTAATTCAGTGATGGTAATATATAGAAGAAAGATTGTGTATAAGGAGATAGTACAGGAAGATAGAATTAGTTCGTAGAAAGAAAGATTTGAAGTGATTTTAATCTCTTAGTTCAAAGGAAGACAGAGAGTGTATACACCGACGCCATTGTGATCGATTCTGAGCCATGTCACCAATAGTCCCCAACCATTGGTTACGATAGTCACGCGGACCCCAACCAGGCAGTCTGAATCTGCCAACATGGCTCAGACCAGAAGTTAGTGACTTCAACCACTGATGCCACGTTTTGGTTTGGCCGCCCCTAACTTTCTTCCAATTATCCCTAACACCGGTTAGCATTGCGCGTCGTGGTAATCAGTGTTCAGGCATACGCAACACGTGGCCTAACCATCTCAGTCGATGAAGATTCATAACCTCACTATTACTTACCTGGTGATCCCAGCAGATGCTAGCAATATTTCTAAGGCACCTGTTGTCAAATACTAATAACTTACGAGTATCTTCTATTCTTAAAGGCCATGTTTCACAGCCGTATAGTAGAACGGAACGAACTGCCGCGCAGTACACTCGTCCCTTAATTGATAGGCGGATATCTCGCCTGCGCCATAGATGACGTAAGTTGGCAAAGGCCAAACGAGCTTTTCGTATCCGTGCTGAAATTTCGTCAGACACCAACCCATTAGGGCTGATCAGACTTCCAAGGTAAGTGAAGTTGTCAACGCGTTCGATTACTTCACTCCCTATCCTTAGTTCAGGTGTTGACGCAGACCAGTCCTGAAGCAACAACTTGCATTTAGGGGGAGAGAAGCGCATCCCAAACATTCTGGCATTGTTTCTCAGTGTTACCAAAAGACTCTGCATTTCATCAGCGTCTTCACCAAACAGGACTATGTCATCTGCGTATTCTAAGTCAAGCCTGAGGTGCTTGTATATAAGCTCTTCCGGATGTTAATAAACTCAGGCAAACCGTTCTTCAATGGATAACCATAGAGAGCAGTCCTGTGCAACGAATCAAACGAGGCTGTGACATGAAGAAAATAATGATTGTTGCCCTACATTAAATATAACGGTGTTCTAATGCCTAACGGAGGGTGAATATATAATAAATGTATCCTCGACCAAAGCAAAACCCGACCTGCTTTTTGCGAGTGAATCTTCCATGGGCTTTGAACAATCTGCAAATTATGATGGAAGGTAGTATTTTGGAGTCAGTCGTAGATAGACTTATCTCCCGACATTTGTTTCACATGCGATGTAAACAATTTTTAAAGGGCGACTATCGCCTCATTCCAAGATGTTACAACGCTAATTACCAAACGTTTGAAACAACTCAGTTTCATAACGAGTTGTTTGCCACCATCCTTAAAATAGGTTGGGGGTAAGTCATATAAGTCTGGTGGTTTATGGGGCTTCACAACTTGTGGTTTCTTGTGGAATTCTGTTTCGTTAATTGGATCAGTTGTCACCAGTCACGGCGGACAGAATAGTCCGATCGAACTATTCTTCGAAGAACTCTGTTTATCTTACAAGACGTCGGTGGATGTTATTAATTGATGTCCCATCAGTTTCACAAATTGTTTTCTTGATACTAAATCTCTTCCTTACAGTAGCTTGAGTGAGTTGGAAGAGCTTCCAGCGGTTATGAGATACAGTTACTGCTTCTAGTGTATGATAAGATTAGAGCGAACAAAGGCGAGATCACAGTTCAGATAAATATTCCGAAAGGAGCATTCCAGCAGTAGCTGATTACGATGCGACTGAGTTCAAGCTTGAGATACCTGAATCCTAACCATAACACAAGTGTATAGACTACGGTTAAGTTTTAAGATTAATAAAATTTCAAGATATAATAACCTTACTTATAATATGAACTGTCCAACTGATTTCTATGCAAGCAATCTCGTAGCCTAGTAATTTAGGTTTTTCCTTTTTCAACTAATTAGTCACTGGTTGTAATCCAACTTCATTTACTTTGGTATGAGGAAACAAGTAATATTGTTCACCTCTGCACAATGAGTATAACTCTAAGTCAACCATACACAGCTGGTTAGTCAGTTATGGTTAGTGTGGGACATGGCATACATGCATCGGTTCAGGCTGCAAAACCACCTCAACACAGCAAGGTGGCAGAATAGTATAAGCAGAAACATTATCAGTGATAATGGAAAATATTAGACATAGAAGATACGAAACCCGTTCTGGCAGCTTATTTGTCATCTTTATATTTTCACTCTCTCTTTTTGTATAATACGATTGAAGTTGTGTGTATAGACTTCTAATGTATTTGATATATATTATTCTTAAAATTTCATCTCTCTTCTGGTTATTACACAATTTACTCTTTTTACTGTCATAGTACTTATGATTTTGTCAAAGTTTCTTGTTCATTGCTTGGTACAATACTCGAATGACAATACGAATGTATTCCACTCAAAACACCAATTTTAGTTCTAATTTTTTATTACTGATATCCATCCTGAATACGTCATTTTTTGGTTATATTAATCCTTATGGTTTACATGATAATAATCTCATGTTATCTAACTACTAATTTCAGCTCAATCATTTCATCAACTCATAGCAAAGACTTGGCAACTATCAGAGAGAATAAGATGTGGCTGAAGTCTCTATGGATGACTGTGAATTAGATTTGTTATTAAAAGAGTTGGAGGCTGATTATACGGATGCCCTTAAATATGTTGATCGTGAATTGGAGAAAAAAACCACCACTTTGGTGGTTGATGATTATGAGCGACTTCAGAAAATCGGTCAGGGAACATTTGGTGAAGTGTTCAAAGTTCGTCACCGAGTTACTAAGCAACATTATGCTTTGAAACGACTTAAAACAGAGCAAGAAACAGAGGGTGTAAGTTAACTTTCACCATCATTTCTCTAATACGCATAGTTTCCAGTCACTGCTCTGCGCGAAATTAGAATTCTCAGCTCGCTTTCCCATGAAAATGTTGTGCGTTTGCGAGGCGTATGTCATAAAAAAGGTATACTGTTCATCCAATATTGATTTTAATCTACAGCTGCCCCTTCTAGCAACTACAGATACGAGTTCTATCTTTTGTTCGATATTTGTGAGCATGATCTAGCAGGTCTATTAGCTCAAAAAGTTGAGTTCAGTCTCCCAGTGAAGAAAAGCATAATGCAACAGTTACTTACGGGACTTTACTTTTTACACAAGTAAATATAATTTTCAGATGACTAAATCCTTTAAAAATTTTCATTTTATAATAAACTGTCTGTTGTATTAGGATTGCTGATTATTTATTAAAAACCTCACTTTCAAACATAAAGTCTCGTATTCGGTCCCAGCCTCACCTATATTATTTCAGCCAACCGGATATTACGAATGATCATCATTGTGTATAGATGTATAGTTTCATTTCTAATAAAGATTTGCCTGAGGATAAGCAACGAACTTCAGGTATCTCATGGGCGGTTTTTGGCAAAATGGTAAAAGTACACTGTCATTATAAATTGTGTACTAATTTTTGTATTATCCGTATGCATTTAGGGGAATAAAAGAATATTCTCATGTAAATAGTGCATACTATTTTTTACGGTTTGCGAATGCATACTCATGTCTTATGAATAATAACCTCAAACGGTTGAATTCCCTGTTCTTATTAACTGACAAATAACTTCTTTTAGCTAAAACTTAATTTTTAATGACACTTGGCATGTAAAGAATAGTTTAGTAGTAATAGCATTAGGATAAGTCTTTTGAGTTCTCCTGAGACCTTTTCAAAATGTTACTTCTAGGTCGCTCGGTTCATCCATTAGCATATCTATAAAAATTTTTACCGCCTGTGATCTCCATATCAAGCTCAAGCAAAGGACCCAACTTTCACATACAAAATCAATAGTACGTCCCATAATTCATCCGTTTCGATTCATAGAGTATCTCTCATTTTAACCCAAGAAGTGTAGACCCGAGTAGTGTTTAGATTTACCTCATTATTTTAAATACTATTCATTTTTAATATTTTCTGATATCTTGTAGAAATAATGTTCTTCATCGTGACTTAAAAACATCAAACATACTAATTGATCGTGAAGGTGTTTTAAAAATAGCAGATTTTGGTTTGGCAAGGCTTACTGTCACTTCTATTCGACCTGACCGTGCTTCTCGTTATACTGGTCGCGTAGTAACGTTGTGGTATCGACCTCCAGAAATCCTGCTCAATGATCGTTATTACGGAAGACCAGTAGATATATGGGGTGCTGGCTGTATTATGGCTGAGCTTTGGACAAATTACCCAATTATGCAAGTAAGTAATTGGCGAATAAACTTTTCAAGTACTTAAGGTTATTCAAAACAAGTTTTATTTTGATTTGTTGATGATACATATCCACCTTAACAAAATCACAGTTCATATTCATTTGTTATTGTACGTAGACGTGAAAAATCTTATTGAAGCAGTGGCAGTAATCTACTTTGATGAGTGAGCTAGATAATTTTCATTCGAATATAGTAGGGCATGTTATGTTGAATCATTGTGCGTCAGACTAGACATTGTTTTTACAACATAACTAAGATTAACATATTCCTTGTAATAATAAGTGTTTTGAATTGTCACTTTCTTACAATCAGTTACTCAACTACTTAGAAATGTGAACTCTTCATTTGTATTCAGTAATTCAGCAGAGTGATCCCACAAATTTCGAATCAAGTGTAGTATTCGAAGTAGACATTTTATCAAAGGTAACATGTATCTGTCATAAGTGTCTTCGAACATATTTCTAGGGAGAATGAGAAGCACTAGACCAGTAATATTCAAGTGTATTTATATTTATTTATTTATTTCAACACATAGATATTGGTACGGGGAGGCACCAAATACATATGCGCCACACAGACCTCATTTGATATGTGTGAGGGCTGTGATACTGCCCGGGTGCCCAAACCGAAGCAGGTGGTTTACTTGGGGGGCCATACCCCGAGCTTTTGACCTGAACATCTGACCCACAAAGCAGTGGAGCATCGCAAGGAGATGCAGCCCCATGGTAGCCGGTGACCAACGATTGGTTCATACGCCATTTGTTCCTTCAGGATGCTGGAGCCCATGTGCTTTTCGTCCTCTCATTTTCGCAAACTACACCCTTGGTGCGAGAAGGCAGTGAGTAGGACTTCTCTGGCAGAGGCTATATACGCGTGGCCATGTGAGAGCATTTGAAGAGGGAGAGCGGACTCTCCCCACTCTCGGCCGTACCGTGGCATTTGAGGGCATTCAAGTGTATATGTGAAAGTAAATTTTCTTTTGAATATCAGACTCGGGTTACACATATAAAGTCATCTGGTGGATTCCTAAGCTAGGAATAGGTTATGAAAAATTTTCCAACGATGATTTGAACATTAGATTTCATCAGTTCCAAGTTTGTACCGTACTGAGGTTTTTGTTTAGGTACACGACTTTGAGCCATATCGTTTCGGTGTGAAAACTAATGATAGTCTCACTGAAAACTCATACTGACTAATGATAGTATATGGCTGTCTAAACCAGAACAGATGAAGTTGGGGGGGCCTAAACCAACCGATTCAAAAATTATTGGATTATTAGAACACTTATTTGTGAACGTACTTACCTAATATGACCTCTAACAATTTCATACGGTTTTGTTTCAAGATAACCTGATTTATTTTGAATTCCCTCATTTTTTATCTTAAAGGGTGAAAATGAACTTCTTCAACTCAATTTAATTATTCAGCTTTGTGGTTCCATTACACCGGAGGTTTGGCCAGCTGTCCAGAATTTAGAAACTTATCAAAAAATAAAGTTACCCAAAGATGTTAAACGTCATGTCAAAGAAAAATTGACGCCACAAATTCCATGTCCATCGGCTGTTGACCTAATAGACAAATTACTAGTATTAGATCCAAATAAACGTTTGGATGCTGATCAAGCTTTATCACACGATTTTTTCCATGAAGATCCACCTCCTGGTGATTTAAGCTGCCTTTCAAAGAATGGTGCTTCATTTTTAGAGTATTTAGGACAAGCTAACAGAGCTAGACGTGGATTAGCAAATAATTACCGTAATGTTGCTAATCCTAATTTCCCAGCTAGACGGGGTCCAAATGTTATGGTCCCCGGACCTATGCCAAATCAACAAATTATTAACCAACCATATCAACGTTATCGAGGTCTTCCACCGGATCAAGATTCATCTAATATTAATGATCGTATATTTTAATCTAAGTGAAGGGTCTAATGTTATTGAAAAAAAAATTTTGTACAATTTTGTGTTTATTGCATTTTTAAAAACAAAAGTAAATTTAAATTAACCTGCAGAAACAGTAGGATATTGTGATAACTACAATAACAATAATAATAATAATAACACATACAGAGTTTATTTCAATCTTTAAGATTTGTATTTTTCTAGTCTCATTACAATTATAGTGCGAATATTTGCTATGCTAAATAATGATATGATGATAACCATGATGAGTGCATTTTTCTCTTTCTCTCTCTCTCTCTTTTTTTTTTCTGTAATTTGATATTTATTAGTCTACTAAAGAAATTTCTTTTTAACCATTTCATTAGTTTTTAATTATCAGGATGAAAGAAAAATCTCAAATATAAATAATACGAAAGTAATTATAATTGGTATAATATGTACATCGTTTGAATAATTTTTTTCTGGTTAGTGTTTTTTTAGCGAGTTAGTTTTCTAAGAGATAGGGTCGCTAACCCTATACCCAACCCTCCTCCTTTATCCGGGCTTGGTTTATTTATTTATTTGAACACATAAATATTGGTACAGGGGGGCACCAAATATATATGCGCCACACAAAACAATGATAATTTGAAGAGAAGGAGAAAAGAGAAAAAAAGAAGAAAAAAAAAAGTAATGGACGTGGGGAATTATAAAAAAAAGGAAGAGAGCGAGAACAATGGTGGGGGAAACGGAAAGGTACAATCAGAAGAGATCTTTCAGTTAAGGAAGATACAACCACTTTTTATGAAGAAAGTAAAAGAAGGTTACAGCACGATCGCCACTGGCTTCTATTCTGAGCCATATCTGATAACGTCTCTAGCCACTGCGTTACACCGTCTCTCGGACCCCAACCAGGGAGTCGTGAAGGACCAACATAAGCTAGCCCTTTGCAGCTTTCTTTCATACCACGACACCATGTCATATACTGACCACCTCTCCGCTTTTTCCAACCAGTCCCAGAGTCGGCAAATAATGCACGACGAGGAATTCTCTGGGACGACATTCGTAGAACATGTCCAAGCCACCGAAGTCGGTGTTTCAAGGTGGTGACACCAATTTCATTATCGTCTCTGTGACCGAACACACGATGCCGAACTTCTGCATTACTGACATGGTGTTGCCACTGGATGCCAGCAATCCTTCGGAGACAGCGATGATCGAACACAGAGAGTCGTCTAACATCCTCAACTCGGAGAGGCCAGGTTTCACAAGCATAGAGCAAAACTGCTCTCACCGTCGCGTTGTAGATCCGACCTTTTACAGCCAGACTAACATCACGAAGGCGCCAAAGATGGCCCAGATTGGCATAAGCCGCTCTGGCTTTCACTATACGTGCATTGATCTCATCACTCACACCACCACCAGCACTTATGCAGCTACCTAGATACACGAACTTCTCGACTACTTCAATCTGCTCACCATCCAGAGTGAGTACAGGATTAGAATCCTGCCAGTCTTGTAGAAGTACTTTGCACTTCGAAGGTGCAAAGCACATACCATACCTACGGACACTGATTGCCAACTGATTAAGTGCGTGGGCTTAGGCATTCTCGCAAAGTAAGACAATATCATCCGCATACTCAAGGTCGAGAAGTCTTTCTCCAGGCAACAGATCCACACCACCATTACTTACATCCGTCAGAGCTGTTTCCAGAATGTCATCGATGGCAAAGTTGAAGAGGAATGGTGAGATTGGGCAACCCTGCCTAACCCCACTGCTCGAATGGAATAGTGGAGAAAGGTGGTTGTATGCCCTCACTCTGCCTGAGGTGTTTGTGTATAAAGCTTTTAGGATGTTAATAAACTTCTCAGGCACACCCTTCTTCAATAGACAATCCCAGAGAACAGTTCTGTCCAACGAATCGAAGGCGGCCCTGATATCAAGAAACACTACGATTGTTGGCCTTTGATAAGTATGGCGGTGTTCTAACACTTGGCGGAGGGTGAAGATATGATCAATACATCCTCGACCAGAACGAAACCCAGCCTGCTCCTCGCGAGTCAATCCTTCTCGGGTTCTGAACAATCTACGAAGTATGACGGAAGCCAATAGCTTAGACGCAATTGGAAGTAGACTTATCCCTCGATAGTCGTTACAGAAACAACGTGAACCATTTTTAAAGATAGGGACAACTATCGACTCATTCCATGACGTTGGTACACTCTCTAGTTCCCAGATCTTTGTAAACAACGTCGTCAGTCCCTTAGTCAAAAAGTCACCACCATCTTTAAAAAGAGCCGGAGGTAAGTCATCTGGGCCCGGTGATTTGTAACGTTTCAAGAGTTGGAGTTCCTTGCGGACTTCCGCCTCATTTGGTGGATCAGTCGTCACCGGCCATGGAGGGCAGGACAGTCTGACCGATGTTGCCGGAGCAGCAGGCCAGTTGAACTGCCCTTCAAAGAATTCTGCCCATCGTCCAAGACGTCGATGGATGTTAGTGATTGGCGTTCCGTCATCCTCGCAGATTGTTTCGCTCACACCAAACTTCTTGCTGCCAGTGGCTCGGATGAGTTGGAAGAGCTTCCGGTAATTACCAGATGCAGCTGCTGCTTCCAACTCACTGGCACGCTCCGACCACCAGGCTTCTCGGTCCTTACGCAAGCTTTGCCCGATTTCATTACGTAACATCCTTCGTCTGTGGTCAAACTCACGGTCACCCGGAGTAGACCGACGGGCTTCAATCAGTTGTAAGGAACCAGAAGAAACCCAGTGCTTGTAAGCGGGACGTTTCGCAATCCCACAGCTGACTTGACCCGCCATTTTCATGGCGTCATGCAATTGCAACCAATGCTCATCTATACTTTTCGGTGGAATGGTAGCTAGCCTAGAAGCTAGCTCGGTTCGGTACTTACTAGCAACAGAAGTTGCAGCCAGTTTGCTAACATCAATCCTGTGGTGGCGGTCACTTCGTTGTCCACTGAAAAGTAAGGTAAGATTGGCGCAGACCAGAGCATGATCAGATTCCAGATAGGTACTCCAAAAGGAGCGGCAGTCTTGTACACAACCGCGCCAGCGGTAGCTGATCGCGATGTGATCAATCTGAGTCCAGGCTTGAGATGCAGAAGGGGGACGCCAGGTGGCACATCGGCGATGACTGTGCCGAAAGTTAGTGCTAGCCAGAAACAGGTTGTGGTCTGTGCATAGTTGCAGTAGACGTTCCCCGTTATCTGTCCTGCGACCAACGAGTCCCCATCGGCCACCTAAACGACTCTCTTTTGTGCCTAGACGCCCGACCTGAGCATTCAAGTCTCCAGCTAGTACTACAATATCTGTCGAACGCACTTTCTGGAGAAGAACAGTTAGCTGATGGTAGAACTCGTCCTTGATTGCATCCGGGCTGCAATCTGTCGGGGCATAGGCGGAGATGACGAAAAGACATCGTTTCTCACGCCGATTTCTTCTCACTTTGATGGAACTTTCTAGTCTAACAGCACATAACCGACTGTTAATGGGGATCCAGTCGACTAGTGCTGCCTCAGCTCTTGCGCTTAGTGCGACACCAACGCCAGCAAGACCAGACGAAGATGCCACAGGGTCCCCGCATAAACGCACATAAAACAAGCTTTTTGAAGTGACAGATGGAGAGCGAACTTGTAGTACTTCACCAGAGTCTTGAATACGGGTCTCGGATAGACAACACACATCAATATTAAGACTTTCCAAAGACATAGCCAGCCCTATCTGTTGTCCGACCTGCATAAGTGTGCGAACGTTGAAGGCAGCCAGTTTGAATGGTGCACGTGGTTTCAGAAAAACTGCTTCAGTACTCATATTCGGTAGTAACATACAATTTTCAACCAGGCAGTGACTCGAGAACGTTTAGATAAAGCTGAATTTTCACCATAGGCGAGCTGCTGTCTGAGTCGAAGCGGATACAAAAAGTAGAAATAGGAGATAGTGAATAAATGACGTAGTAAATAATAATAATAACAATAATAATAATAGTAATAATAATAATAATACCAGTCATTTCAAGGTTAGTCGGAGAGAAATGAATACTTTCTATAAGCATATAGTTCATCATAGTTTTAGTGAGTGGGCTGGGATACTGCCCGGGTGCCCAGACCGAAGCAAGTGGTTTTCTTAGGGGGCCACACACCGAGCCTTTGACCTAAAGGTCTAGCCCACAAGGCAGTGGAGCATCGTGAGGAGATGCAGTCCCATGGAAGCCGGTGACCAAAAGTTGGTTCATACACCATTTGTTCCCGCAGGATACTGGAGCCCATGTGCACCATAGAATTGGGATCCGGTTATAGCGCCGGACGTTCGCTTTTCGTCCTCTCATTTTCGTAAACAACACCCCCGCCACGAGAAGGCAGTGAGTAGGACTTCCCTGGCAGAGGCTGTATACGCGTGGCCGTGTGAGAGTATTTCGAGAGGGAGGGCGAACCCTCCCCGCTCTCGGCCATACCAGGGCATTTGGGGGCATCCGGTCTTGGGACCGGCAGTAACCCCCCCAAAAGGACTCCAGGCGGAGTTGGAGAATGCTGGTCGGCGGCCTATGCTCCATCGGGAGTAACAGGCGTAAGTAAGTAAGTAATAATATGTACATTGTAAATTTGAACATCTTAACAAGCCTAGTTGCCTATTTAAGACAATGTAAGGTTTAGGATAAGTTTCATCAGTCGTAATTGTCACAACACAATAAGACAAATCTAAACTAAAGCATTAAACATATAGAATATATTTAAAGATCAAGTAAAATTAAAGAAAGAAAAGTGTTAAATACATTTGAAAGTCAAAACTTATTGAGAGATAAAGTATTGAAGTATCTCCACAATTGTGATATGATTCTTAACAATGCTACTTAAAACAATTGGTCATTCATATGAAGACACGATAACAATTTCAAGTAAAATTCGCCTGATTTCAATCAATACTTTGTTCATGGTTAAAACGTTACGTAGAAATTAATGAGTTATGTATCAGAGAACAGTTTGAAAGTAACTAAACTTTACTTCTGAGTTTTAAGCTCTTTACTTTGGTAAATTATGCAGCAACTCGAACGACTTGTTAGCATATACATTTTAGATACCATTTATGTAACTCAATCTACTGCTAATAAACACAAAATATGGGATTATCTACTACAAGTTTTCTGAAATCATTATGTATGACTTAAACTAGGCTGTCTCCAGGATCTCTCAGGAATTTCTACCATCATTTAGAACATGACTTTAATCGTTGTTTAATATCACCTGGAAAACTTTTTGGAATCTAAGTAGCTGTTTCTTCCCGGTACAGAGTTCTTAAACAACTATCCCGATTGTTTACCGTCCATTAATCGTTTAGTATACTCTGCAACAGTTCAAGGTTGTAGTCTAGACCTATAAATTTTATTTATATTTATTTATTTATTTGAACACATAAATATTGGTACATTACGTTAATTCATAGCCCCCAAATGCCCTGGTATGGCCGAGAGTGGAGTGGGTCCGCCCTCCCTCTGGAAATACTCTCACACGGCCACGCGTATATAGCCTCTGACAGGGAAGTCGAACTCACTGCCTTCTCGCACCACGGGTTTTGTTTACGAAAATGAGAGGACGAAAAGCGAATGTCCGGCGCTATAACCGGATCTCAAATCAATGGTGCACATGGGCTCCAGTATCCTAAAGGAACAAATGGCGTATGAACCGATTTCTTGGTCACCGGCTTCCATGGGACTGCATCTCCTCACGATGCTCCACTGCCTTGTGGGCTAGACCTTTAGGTCGAAGGCTCGGTGTGTGTCCCCCTAAGAAAGCCACTTGCTTCGGTTTGGGCACCATGGCAGTATCACAGCCCACACACAAATATAATGAAAATGATGAGACCTATAAAACAAATTGTTAAAGGCCGAAATAGTGCGCACACTGAAGGTACTTCATTATATATTTGTAATGAACACTATTTGTATGATGTAGCTCTCCGGTGAGCGATATCACGTCAATGAACTCGCTCATACCATCTGAGATGGAGTTTGACCCTAACTGTTTTGTATTATCCTTGTTAACTTCTATCATAGTAATATTTATATCGTTCATCCGTTGTAGATTTATTCAGTCACAACGACAAAGTAATAACCGGAAACTCAAACATTAGGTTAGTTTTCATAAAGGACGATATTTATTTAGCGAAAGAATTTCATGATTGATAAATAACATTTCACTAATTAGTTTCTATTTACATAATTGCTGTATTCATCCATTTATTAGTAAGCAAGCACAGTGTTTCGCTATCCATCTTTCATATGAAAATAAATGGTAGTTTGTAAACGAATTGGATCATTGTATTCTATAAGAAATTAAAAATAATCTGTTAACAAATGAACATCCCAGTATTGATTTTATTTCCCTGAGTAGTGTAAAACAATATGGGATTAAGTAAACCTGCCTTATGAAACATCTTATAAATATAAATATTATGTTAAGTAGTTCACTCTTTACAGTGATATTCGTTGTATTCATCTTTAATCAATTTCATGAATCAGTTGAAGTTAGACATTCACACCATTGGATGCCGGCCAGCTCAGTGGTTTAGTTTGTTAAGCACTCACGTGCAAGACTGATAGATCCTGGGTTCGAATCCCGTTAGGCAGGGTCGTGGTTGCAAACTGCTGAGGAGTACCTCAGGAGGACAAAATGGCTATTCAGTGCTTCCAGGTTTTTCATAGTGGTCTAGCTTCAATTGACTCATGATCTCAATTATTGAAATTACTACAATCTCCATAAAATCCTTTCTGATACAAATGTTATTCAGTTATTATAAATAATAATGCACAATATAAACATTAAAGTAATACTTATGAAGGATAACTTCCTGTATTATTACATCAACTTATTATTTGTTAAGAAATAGTAGAATCTTTTATTTTATCATTTTCTACCGATGAAATTTTTCTATTGATTGCTTGTAAACGAGGTAATTTCATATCTAAAGTTTCTTTGTTTTGAATATATGTAGAAGAAATTTGATTAAGTTCCTGAAAATTAATAAATGTAAACATAACAGACAGATTTAGTAATAGAAATTGTAATTTAAGTAATAATAAAAAAAGAGTATGTTAGAAGATTTACAATTCAGTCAGTCAGCTGCAACGTAGGACCAGGCATGTATATGCATCGGTCCAAGTTGCCACACCGCATTAGCACAACAAGATGAACACCGGATTCATAGAAGTAGTTAATTCAGTGATGGTAATATATAGAAGAAAGATTGTGTATAAGGAGATAGTACAGGAATAAAGAATTAGTTCGTAGAAAGAAAGATTTGAAGTGATTTTAATCTCTTAGTTTAAAGGAAGACAGAGAGTGTATACACCGACGCCATTGTGATCGATTCTCAGCCATGTCACCAATAGTCTCCAACCATTGGTTACGATAGTCACGCGGACCCCAACCAGGCAGTCTGAATCTGCCAACATGGCTCAGACCAGAAGTTAGTGACTTCAACTACTGATGCCACGTTTTGGTTTGGCCGCCCCTAACTTTCTTCCAATTATCCCTAACACCGGTTAGCATTGCGCGTCGTGGTAATCGGTGTTCAGGCATACGCAACACGTGGCCTAACCATCTCAGTCGATGAAGATTCATAACCTCATCAACTGATTTACCATCATTCCCTAAGACCCTGCGTCTAACCTCACTATTACTTACCCGGTGAACCCAGCAGATACCCGCAATATTTCTAAGGCACCTGTGGTCAAATACTAGTAACTTACGAATATCTTCCACTCTTAAAGGCCATGTTTCGCAGCCGTATAGTAGAACGGAACGAACTGCCGCGCAGTACACTCGTCCCTTAATTGATAGGCGGATATCTCGCCTGCGCCATAGATGACGTAAGTTGGCAAAGGCCAAACGAGCTTTTCGTATCCGTGCTGAAATTTCGTCAGACACCAACCCATTAGGGCTGATCAGACTTCCAAGGTAAGTGAAGTTGTCAACGCGTTCGACTACTTCACCCCCTATCCTTAGTTCAGGTGTTGATGCAGACCAGTCCTGAAGCAACAACTTGCATTTAGAGGGAGAGAAGCGCATCCCAAACATTCTAGCATTGTTGCTCAGTGCTACCAAAAGACTCTGCATTTCATCAGCGTCTTCACCAAACAGGACTATGTCATCTGCGTATTCTAAGTCAATAAGTGGACCTCCTGGTAGGAGATCAATACCCGAGAAGTCAGTCGATGAGAGCGTTATTTCCATCAGGATGTCTATGATAAAGTTAAACAAAAAAGGAGAAAGTGGACAGCCTTGACGGACGCCACTTGAGGTTGCAAAAGCAGATGATAGTTCGCCATAGGCTCTGACCCGACTAGTAGTGTTCGAGTAAAGAGCCTTCACAAGGTTTATGTACTTCTGAGGTACGCCTTTCAATGACAGACACTGCCACAGAACCTCTCGGTCAACAGAGTCAAACGCTGCTTTTAAGTCAAGGAATACCACCATTGTCGGACGCCGATAAGTATGCCTGTGTTCATCAGGATAATTGAATCGTTGTAATTAATAGAATTTGACATGATATATTTAGAATAAAGAATGATAACCAAGTTACATAATCATTCTATATATAGTTTGTTAGACATTTAAAATTTGTACTTGAAATCAAGTTTTGTATAAATTCTAAAGTTAATGTCTTATTCAACAACTGTATCAATAATATGAAATTAAAAATTTTACCTGATCATTTACTGTTTGTGATGGAAACCAATTTGGAAAATGTTTGTAGAATGAATATGCTTGCCAAGCTAATAAACATGGATTAACCTTTGATCGACTATTAAATCCTGATATGATAAATATTACAAAAAAAAAATATGATTGTATAAAATAAAATTTAATATGATTAGTCAGTTGTTTATATTTCAATATTGTTGTAAGAGAATAAAGATATTCTGAAAAAAAATATATGATTGCATTTGTGTAGTACATTTCAAATATATCTCTGATATTAAATAGTCGGAAACACTTTAGGATACAAACCTAGATCTAGGTTTCATGGTAGTTGATGTTTGTTAGCAAGGCGTATCTGTGGTCTTGAAGAGACTTGTTTCCTGTAGAGTTCAAATCGGTATCATAGTCTGAATTGTTAGCAACGAGCTTTTTGGATAGCGACGAACTTATATGATCAAGATATATACACTGATAGATCACTATGTAATGACTAATGCCGAATTTTATTAATGATCAAATCCTATTTATTGTCAACCACTTACAATCAAAAGTATAATGCTTGCGATGTCAAATCATTTAGACTGGTGGGTACATTGTACCTTGATCTATTGAATTAGATTAGAACCAATGAATAAAGAAACTTGACTTTAATCACTGTTCGCTGATGAATTAATCAACTTTAATTAATCCTCACAAGAAATTTCAGTTTTACTACACTACATGACACCACTGTCCTAATATCAATAGCTAACGAGTTCATTTGACACAAGGTACACTGTTACAGTGCAAAGTAGTGCATGGAGGACAGCTGACAGACGCATTCCAAGTGAGGACCGGAGTAAGACAAGGCTGTCTACTCTCTCCCTTCCTCTTTCTTCTGGTGGTCGACTGGATTATGAAGACTTCGACATCTGAGAGAAAACACGGCATACAATGGACAGCTCAGAACCAACTAGACGATTTAGACTTCGCAGATGACCTAGCCCTCCTATCGCATACACACGAACAAATGCAGATAAAGACAGCCAGCATAGCAGCAGTCTCTGCATCAGTAGGCCTGAACATACACAATGGGAAAACCAAGGTCCTCAAATACAACACGGAGAACAGCAATCCAATCACTCTTGATGGCGAAACTCTGGAAGATGTGGAATCCTTCATATACCTGGGAAGCATCGTCGATAAACAAGGAGGTTCAGGTGCAGATGTAAAGGCGAGGATTAGCAAAGAAAGGGCGGCATTCCTTCAAATGAAGAACATATAGAACTCAAAACAACTCTCAACCAATATCAAAGTCACAATCTTCAATACGAACGTCAAGGCAGTTCTACTGTACGGAGCTGAAACTTGGAGAACTACAACAACCGCCATCAAGAAGGTACAAGTATTTATCAATAGCTGTCTACACAAGATACTCAACATCCATTGGCCGGATACCATTAGTAACATCCTTTTGTGGGAGAGGACAAACCAGCTTCCAGCTGAAGAGGAAATTAGGAAAAGACGATTGAAATGGATAGGACATACATTGTGGAAATCATCAAACTGCATTTCGAGGCAAGCGTTAACTTGGAATCCTGAAGGGAAGCGGAAAAGAGGAAGGCCAAAGAACACATTATGTCGGGAAATAGAAGCGGATATGAAAAGGATGAATAAGAACTGGAAACAGCTGGAAAGGATCGCCCAGGACAGAGTTGGATGGAGAATACTGGTGAGCGGCCTATGCTCCTTCACGAGGAGTAACAGGCGTAAGTAAGTACACTGTTACCTACTTTACAATATTTTGATAAAATACATATGCAAGCAATTGTATAAAAAAATCACTTTTGTCTAGATAGGGTAAATCCAAGAGTCAAGCGAAAAAGTTTATAGAAACGTATATTTTAACCGAACTAGGCTTACTCAAGATCAAACGATTTGAAACAGGTAGAAATCGTTTACATATTCAACCACTATTACAAATAAATATAGCAAGTTCAGAAAAATGGTGCTGCTACTGTGGTGGACAGAACACAGGTGGGAACAAACGAATCTGATAACTAATTACAACACTTGTTAATAAAATCTTACAACCATATAGTGAATCGTTTATTTGCAAAATAACAATCCGTCATATCAAACTAGACTGTTCTTGTTGCAAACATCAATCGATTGTCTGACATTTCATTGTTCATAAATTTCCATATAAATCCCATTGTGTTTCCGCTCTTTCTTTCTTGATCTTCTGATGCCAAACATTACGTGTAAAATTTGCGTCATATACTACTTATGTCAACATAAGTAGCACACACAACACTACTACAATAAGATCCCGATTATTCCGTAAACTATTCTGAATTGTTTATAACAAAATATCTGATTGTATTAATATTTCTTAATAAAACAATATTTTGTCATATAAATATTATATTTTTAAAAAAGAATGACAGTTTACCTGTAATTGCGCTAATTATAAATCCTACAGGAATTCCAACAATTAAACAGGCCGCTGCATAATAAAGATATGAAAGTGAGTAAAATGACCACATTGTCGTCTCTGTAATATTAACCGTACTAGTTGTAGTGGTTACCATAGATAATGATATATTTTGAATTTTAGATGAACAATTTTCAATGGTTAAAGGTAAACGACCACTATCAATTCTTGAAATCATAAAAGTATTTCCAATACAAATCCATAAACCACAGATAACACCACTAATTAATGCACACAATCCACCCTGAAACATAGAAATCGACACGAAAATAAAAAAATAGGTAAACGGTAACGTATAAGCGGGATTCATTTATCCATATTGAACATTAAAAAAACATTAACAAAATGAGTTGTTTTTATTAATAACAGTACTGCCATAAATTTTGTAACGATGAGACTAAAGTTAGATAGGAAGTATTTTCGATGAATCCTCAGTCATAGTATAAGACCATATTAATTTTAGTTTCAGTTATTAAAATACGCGTATGACATCGGCGGCCTGCTTGAATATCTGGGCCACCTGTTCCTGTCATCTAGATATTTCAACAAGTTATCTGTTTTCTTGTTTGTTTTAATACATCATTATGCCTGTTAGTCTCATAACCTATTCAGGTACGTTTGTGAAAAATTTACCCCATTTCGCTGTACAAGTTACAAAAGAGCTCAATCAGAGACATCATGGTTACTGGCATTATGCATCGAAAAGGATATACATTTATCAGATGTCGATTCTTTAACCACTAACATCTAACTGGCGACCACTCAATATTTATCGCAAGGAACTGATCAAGGAATAAGAAAGGGAAACTTGTTGAAATACTTTGTGCTGAGAATTCTATATTGTACGAAAAATATAATATTGAATAAAGCCACTAATAATAATAATAAGTACTGTTTAGGAATGAAAATTTTATGTATGACACTGAAATCAATATTTAGCAGAAGAGAATGAGTGGATGTAGAAGTCCTATTACAACTGGTTTCGGACCATGTCATTTAACGTTATCAATCATAGATTTTCACTATCCCATGGAACTGAATCAGAATATCTCGAGTATCTGGTTAGGGATAATGGCTAGTGTTTTTGGGAAGACGATTCTCAACCACGTCACTCGAAGTCTCTGTTCATTAGGTACATCAACCAAGCAATGCATATCTGACTAAAGGAATCAATTCAACACTCAGTAGCTTCATGAGCTGATGTTATGTTTTTGTTTGACTGCCCCTAGCTTCCTCCTGACTTACTTCAATATCAGCCATCATTTATATCTTATTTTTTCTACTAAAATTGATGCTGTTGCATAACTTCGACCACTATGATTTATATCTTAATGTTTTAGTTGCACTATGTTTACAAAATGCGGCAATTAGGATCGGTGCCGGTATGTCCCCGTTTTTAATTTCCTTATGACTGTCTAACTAAAAATATCATGAAATATATAACTTTTTTTATTAACGCTAATGATATACTTACTTACTTACTTCAGCATTAATGCAAGGAAAAAATATTCCAGCAGTAAATACAGTTAAAACTGGACCACCAATTGCACCGAATAGAGAAAATGATATTTGCAAAATGTGTGAACTGGATAATGTAAAAATGAAAGCCAATGATACAGTCAAAGCACCAAATAAAATACCTGCACAGCAAGAAGAGAGAAATACAGAGAAAGAGAGAGGATGCGTGTAACAAGCATACAGGATAGCAAGTAAAATTGCTGTGAGATAGTAACTCACTGATAACAATGGTGGATGTATCGATCAATTTTGTGGATTAGTTGAAGTTAGACATTCACACCATTGGATGCTGGCCAGCTCAGTGGTCTAGTTTGTTAAGCGCTCGCGTGCGAGACTAATAGATCCTGGGTTCGAATCCCGTTAGGCGGGATCATAGATGCGCACTGCTAAGGAGTCCCCCAAGAGGACGAAACGGCCAATCAGTGCTTCCAGGTTTTTCATAGTGATCTAGCTTCAATTGACTTATCCTCTCAACTATTAAAAATCTTAACAATTGTTAAATAGATAAGTCAAGAAAATAGTATTTATTAATGACTTTTTCCATTTTATCAAACCTTTTAATATGTTAAAGAATCACCAGAAACATGACATTTCAACTAGTCTCTAATCAGGTGATTGTAATGAAATAAATTCAGTTTAGTAATTCATAAGGAGAAGTTCAAAAGGTTAAACAACAAATGAAACAAATAATAAGAATTTGAAAACAATTGATAAAAATGACATGTAACACTGACCCATGATAAACACAGTCATCAAAATAGACCAGATTTATTGATGATTATGGGATATGTTTTCTAAAAAGCTTATTGTGAATTTAATTAAACACTTAGGTTATTTATTAGAAAAAAAAACTTGTCATTAAATTACTATAGTTCATAGACTACAACATTGCCAAAAGTAATAAATTCTTATGATAGCAGAATCATAGCATAAGATCATTAGTATACTTCAATAAGAATATATATCAAAGAAGATTTATATTGTACATTCATAAATTCAAAGTGATTGACTAACTCCAAAATTTGTTAAAATATATTTGAAGCAAAAGAAGGAAATTAGATGACATAACTGTTAGAGAATAAATACTTTTCGTTTGTTTTCATTTCAATTATTAATTTTTGTTATAGTGAAAAATCACACTTTGACGTTTAGTAAAATGAACGAATCGAGCTCAGTAGTCTAGAGGTTAAACGTTCGAGCGTGAGACCGAAGATCCTGTGTTGAACCCCACGTACGGGATCGTGACTGTGTGTTGCCGAGGAGTCAAATACTAGGACGAAGCGGCCATCCAGTGCTTCCAAGTTTTCAATATTAGTCTTACGTTGATTGGCTCATGGTCACAATCAAAACCCAACAGTCTCCACAACTCTATACCACTAATTATCATGTGCTCACTAGTGACTAGTTTTGAGAGATAATTCTCAGAATCCCAGTGAGAAGCTGTGACCAGTGAAATCCAACCGTGTCGGGTGTGATGCAGTTACCCAACGGAGACAATGGAAGATGGTTGTGCGATATCGTGGATCGGTTGGAGTTTGATATTAACATCATTGGATGCCGGCTCAGTGGTCTAGAGGTTAAGCTTTCGCACGCGAGACCTAAGGTTCTGGGTTCGAATAATTGTTGAACCGGAAGTGAGAATTTGTCGTGTATCTAAGAATCAACTGTTTTATTGCAGATAAGAGAATTAAGGTCTCTATACGCTTCTTTATTAGTTCGCTGCAAACAAGTGAGTCATGAATACACGATTAATTTTCACATCCGATTCGACAATGTATACTATATACAATTGGATAATGTAGCCACGGGGTAGCCATCGGGTCCACTACTGGCAGACATTTTTCCTGAAAAACTGAAAAATGGACCACTTAAAGACACAATTAGTCATCTAGTATCTTATAGTCTATATATAGATGATACTTTCATAGTATTAGAAAAATAACATGAAAAGGATAATTTACTCAATATATTTAATAAGACTCATTTATCTATTACTTTTGCATTTAAGAAAGAACAGAGTAATAGCATATCGTCTCTAGATGTCCAACCAGCAAGAAGAGTATATGAAACATTTAAACAGAGAAATACATAGAAAGTTTACAGTTGGACAATATACTCATTTCTATAGTGCTATACCAATCAGATACAAAAGAAACATAGTAAAGATCCCGACTCATCGATCTAGAGTCATCTGCTCTGATGACACCATTGTAGATGAATTTATTAATATACGTAACCCGCTTAGTGGGAATAAATATCCAACAAAACTTATCAATAAACACATGAACGAGATGAAAAGAAAACTAAATGTATTTACCATTTTGAAGAAGATACTGTTCCTAAAATTACAACTCCTAAGTGATGCTACTGAACAAATTGTTACTCCAAGATTAAGAAAGCAAGTACAGAAAGCATTTACTGTAACCCAGTCTGACTACAATTAGACTTAGATGATCTATGTAATAAATAAACAAATCAAAGTGTCTGTACATATAATGGCAGTTTTTCACGTGTTTTTGATCTATTATTTGATCATTACATAAGATCATCCTAAATTATGTACAAGAAGGTTTCTATGACCTTAGCTTTCGAATTTAAATAAAGATTTTTTTTTAAATGACACCTAAAACAAACTAACAAGGGTAAAAATCAACATCAACCTATCAATTCAAATACAATGACAACAATCAATTGCTTTTCATTTAAACATCAAAACCTAGTTTTCATTCATTTCCCTTTAGTCATTGACCATTTTGTGAAATCATACAACTTGATAACTTTTCTAGTATTTATATTAGGGTTGTTTAATAAGACAATCACAGACGACAAGGATAAATTGAGATATATAAAAGAACATGGTATTCTGTAACGTTTCTGACATCACGAATCAACACTTAATAGTTTCTCAATACCATAATATCATATAAAAATATCGGTTTAATAACTGAATACAGTATGAAAAAGAAAAAAAAAACATTAACTTATAACTGATCGATTAAAAGATGAACACAGAAATGATCACATTTTGTATACAAGTAAAATATCAATTCATAGTGACCAAAAGAATTTCACCTCATAGAAGAGAATTTTTGTAAAAAAAAAAAAACAACTAGATTTAGGAAATAAGATCTAATAAATAAAATCTAACAAAACAAAGAAAAAAAAACATCTCTCGAAGCATAAACATACCTAAAAATAAAGCCAATCGATATTTAGTTCGTTCCGAAATATCAACATGTCTCCAGTGAATATACAATGGTCGAATTAAATCTTCCAAGCAAACATTAGCCAAACTATTTACACCTGATGATACAGTACTATATAATGAATGTTTACAAAATAATAATAAAAAAAAAAGAAACAGTTTAAGCATTTATTTAAGTAGAATTGTAAATGTTCAATTAATCTGAATCATATGTACTACGAAATCTTACCATAAGAATAATAATAATAATAGATCTATATTATTGTAAACGATAAAGAAGAAATGTAACTGAAGTTGAAGACATCAAGATTGAATTCTTTAAAGGTTATAACTTAATTATGAAGCTTTCATTGTTGTTTGTTTTGTTTGTTTGTTTTTTTACTGAACAACATCATTAACAAATGGTTGAGAATACAATGATGTACAGTTATAAATAAGAACGCTGATTGGATGAAATGCTTCTTTGTATTTCTTGATCCTTGCTTGTCTTTTGCGAGAAAATTTCTGGATCACTCAAATAGGTGGTTAGTTGATTAATAGAAGAGATTGGTAAAGAAACTCAGATGCATTAATGTTAATATCAAGTCACAAACTACATTTGTCATAAGTTTAATGTTTTGATGAAGTCAGTACAAATCAAACTTTATAATTCAGAATGTTCATGTAAAACTATGATTCGATAGTAAAAAAGGTAAGTCTATAATATGAAGGCATCACCACCAGTTGAGATATGATAATTTTAAAGTTTACTATTCTTAACTGTTTATTTTAGTTTCGTAGATCAACCATTGATGGAGATACTGGTTGTGAGTAGAATAATGTAGTGCCATCACAATTAAATAAAATAGGCAATATGATTTCGTTGAATTTCGTGCAGCCACTCTTCAGCCTACTTCTCTGGAATGGTAGATTCTAAATATGCAAGTTATCTTCTCAATACAGCTTCTGCCCTCATAAAACCATCTTATATCAAAACATAGTGTATCCCATGTGGAGTGACTAACGCTAGTTGTTTAAATGGAACTCAATAGACAGATATCTATCAGTACTGATGACCAGATAAACATAAAAGTGGTTACCACTTAGTGATATATGTATGCTTTTCAGTCAAAAATGAAATAGTTTCTAATCAATTTATTAATCAGTTTATATCTATAGGCCTAAATGATTGATCAACAACTTCATGCTAGATGTAATCAATATATAATAGTTGTCACATTATCGCATCATTCATGGTTAAACATCGTTATAATATTAAATAAAGCCAATAATAATAATAATGATAGTAATAGTATCAGCTCAAAAATCACGTAAAAGGTTGCTGTTACGTGAATTTAATGTATAAACAAGAAATCAATAAAATTTAGATCCAGTCAGACTAAAAAATATCAGCTTAAAAGTAATATTTTGGAAATTCTTTTAAATAAACTATTCAATTCACTTGATGTTGTTTTACTTGTATCTTCCAATTCTTACTTAAGACTGCAAGTGATCAGTTTCATGTTGACATATGTGTATCATGTACAGATTACCTGAATATTGCCTTAAATCAAAACCTTTTTAAGCGAAGATTGATAGTGGCCAGCAGTGGGATCCAGAACTCGCGTTCCGAGTGAATATCAACTCTGAAATGCACGTACATCCAGCTGACAAGTCCTAAATAGGATTCCACTGCTAGCTATTACCCATCTTTGCTTAAAAACCAAAATATTGTTTGTAAAGTCAAAATGTTAGATTTTTTTACATAAGTTTCATGGAAATAGATATCAGATCTTGTTGAGATTATTCAGATAAGTTTACTAACATTTGAAAATCTTATGAGAAATCTATGATGAAGTAGATGAAGTAGGAACTATCATCCTGAGTATGATAACAGTTAAAATTCTTATAGAAAATTTATCGATTTTTTAATTGATTTAATTGAACAAATTCACATGATCCTCATAGAATATTCAAAAAACAAAAGAAGAATATTTGATCGAATAATTGTTTCTGTGGTCTAACATCAATCGGTTCATGATCTCAATCAAAAACTTAACAATCTCCATAATCTCTAAACTAATAACTTTATGTGAACAAAAGAAATTAAGAGGAGAGGCTGTAGTCGGTTTATAATATTCGGTTTAGGTATCCTGTAATCACAATAATTATGAACTTATGAATGTAAAGCCTGATGATGAAGTTAATAAAAACAATTGTTCACTCAAATATTCTTCATTTTCCAAAATTGACATAAGTTAGATTTTCTTTTACGTACAAATAGCATTTTACTTGATGTCAGTTAATGAAGCGATGATATTTAGACGTTATGAATGGCTCATTAAAATTAAATCGAAAATGGTTGTTTCGGATAGTCGATAAAACTTTAAGGTGGTTGGAGGTAATCTGCAAATTATGTGTTCATTTGAATCCGTCAGCAAAATGTATCTACAATCTTGAAGAACTTGACGCTCCCGGTGTGAGTCGAACTCGCATCAACTGTCTTCTAATTAATAAACTTTACCACTAAGATATTCAAGCAGCGATTAACATAACATAACACTATATTTTTTCATGGCGACGGTAACAAACTAAATCAAAAACTCAATTGATACAGATGTTTAAAATAAATCAATTTAAATGTCAACTATGTATTTAATTTACTAGTTGAAAATTGACGAAGATGTAGAAAGTCAAAGTATGTTAAATTCAGAAAATCAATTGACTTAGAAAATAGATGTTCGAAGCAAAGATGGATAGTGGCTAGCAGTGGAATCCAGGATGTGCGTTTCGTCCTATTTAAGACTCGTCGCCTGGATATACCTGTATCTCAGAGTTGATGTTCACTCTGGGAAGCGGACGGTACTGGGCTCAAGTCCCAGAGTGAATATCAACTCTGAGTTGCAGTTACATCTAGCTAATGAGTCCCGAATAGGACGAAACGTATGTCATAGATTTCACTGCTACCCACTATCGATCTTAGCTTATAATGCTTGTAAATTAAAGCAATATCGAGACAATATGCACAGTATGTACATATACTCATAAGTGACTAATCAATTTCAGTCTTAAACATCAATGGAATAATCCAAGTAAATAATACTCAAGAAGATATTCTATAATTCTTGTTTTTTCTTTTCTATTATCTTCATTATTTTAAGTTTTTGACATTTTAATGCATAAAGTTATAAATAATTAAATTAGTTTAATAATATGATATACATTTGGTATGAATATAAAACAAACAATATTTAGGATAGTAAACAAAAATGATAATCATTTTAATCTAAAATGTATCAGTTCTAATTCAATGAGGTTTCAATTAATCAAGACAACAACATTGTTTCATCAAATTCTATATACATTCCAATGGAGTGTCTTGTGATTTACAAAAGTGAAGTAATCACATTGAAAAGAGTTTACATTTTAAGAATTAAGCTAACCAGTTCTAAATATCAAATATTTCTATTATTAATGTTTTATTCACTTACCTTAAAGCAGCTGCAAATATAACCGATAGAAATATTCCACGAACAAGTATTACACCATCGAATAAAATCATTACTATATAAGGTAATATTTGATCATAACGTTTAATAGATCCATTCATTACTGGATCACAACCAGCAAAATAAGCATAAATAGCTAAGCCAGTAAATAATTGTACTGCTAAAAATACACTTGTCAATGGAATATTTAGTAATATAGCTCTGTGAAATGAGAAATATATATATATATATATATATATATATATATAGGGAGAAATATCAAATGAAAAGATGATTCACGATTTTTCCTTGTTAGATGAATAAAATAAATTCAAAGCAATGACATTTATAAGCAAAGATGGATAGTGGCTAGTAGTGGAATCCAGGACACGAAGGTACACCTAGCTGACGAGTCCCAAATAGGACAAAACGCGCGTTATACATTCCACTGCTAGCCACTATCCATCTTTGCTTATGAAAGCTTATGAATTAAAGCAATATCGAGGCATACGAACAGTATGCACATATAACAATAATGACATTTTATTGATTAAGTGTTGATCTATCAAAAAAAAATACATATGTGAGCTGTTATAATTAGCAACAGTAAGAGATCCTTGATTGTGTTTATGATATTTGATCAATTACTTATTATGTGACAAGTGAAATAATAAGTCACCTTATAAATTTGAATAGTACAATGAGAAAGACTAGATTATCAGAACTATATGATATATTAGTGTAGTACATTTCAAATAATTTTATTCATATATAGACTTGTTAAGATATTTATATGTGGAAAAATAAAGGTCAATTAGACAAATTAGAAGAGTTTCACTGGTTGAAATCATGAGTCAATTGAAGCTAGACCACCATGGAAAACCTGGAAGCACTGGACGGCCGTATCGTTCGTTACCAGTGGAGTTCAACCAGGTCTGTTGTGAGATATCAGCTCACTGAAGACAATGGTGTACGGTGGCGCAACTTCGTGGATTGGTTGAAGTTAGACATTAACACCATTGGATAACAGCCGGCTCAGTGGTTTAGTTGGTTAAGCGCGTGGCGCGAGACTGATAGGTACTGGGTTCGAATCCCGCTAGGCGGGATCATAGATGCGCGCTGCTGAGGAGCCCCATACTATGACGAAACGGCCGTTCAATGCTTCCACGTTTTACATGGTGGTCTAGCTTCAATTGACTCATGATTTCAACCAGTGGAATTTCCAAAATCTTCACACAACCTCTTCTGATAAATTAGAAGAGAACAAAAATAATAAAGTAACTAATAAGGAAAACGCTACTCTCAATAATAAATCACTATTACTAGGGTGAAAATAAACTAATTTTCAACACTTAAACGACTTCAATTTTTGTACGGTCAATGCTTTAATAAACCTTAATAAACGCCCTTAAAACTACAAAGACTGATTTGATATCAACCATATGAGCTGTTACAATTAAATATTTTACAATGAACATGTTTGTTTATATTGTGTTCTTACTTTGACCATTGATAAATAATTCAATCATTTTTTGGGGGGATGCCAAATCGCCAAATATAATACTTAGGAAGAAATAAATTCTTAAATTCACATAATAATTTAAAGTGAATTTTCTTCATTGACTTTCAGATCATTTCCATTTATATGCATTCATTCTGCATGATGTTAGTTTACTGAGGTGGAACGCGTTTGAATGTATTGATTTTTTTCATTATTATAGAAACCTTAATTAGTCTGATAGAAGGTACTAATCAAAGGATGATTTGCAGTGATATAACAATGTCAATCAACAGTCTTGGAGTTATAATCATTTCATGAATGTTCTTCGATTTCAAATTATAGCTTCATAATATTTAGCCAACTCTATGAAACATGCTCTAGATTAACCCCGAGAAGCTACCCATCAAAGAATGTCACAAGAACCAGTGACATCATTGGTTACAGCATAAAAGAACCTCACTTGCTCTCGTTGTTACGACTCAAATCGTGTGACAAGTGCGGAGTTTAAAGATAAAGGAGGTAGAAATAGACTGGATAGAAACATCATTTTTATGAAAATTGGAGAATGTACGGAATAGGATGAAAGTACATTGTTTTTATCAATTTTGTCACAGAAGGATCTTAATCTATTTCATGGAAAAGATGTAGCACAACACCTAAGGATTAGCTATAACAAATCAACCTTTAATTGATTGTACAATGAGTGACCTCTAAACCAATTTCCCCTAATAGCCTAAGCCATTTTATGTTCATCATATGTTAAGATTCTATATATAACCATGCCACTTTATGACATTTATAACCTATTCACTGGATGGCTTGGAAGTGGAGGACTCATTGTTCATCTAAACAACATCATCAACACAAACTTCAGGTAGAAGTAAAGTTTTCGAATTTCTTCCCATATGATCCACAGCTTATCCTGTAGACCTCGATCTTGATTGATTATTGCTGATCATTAACCTGACTCTGTCTACTTCTTTATTTTGATTGTATCTCCCTCTGATTTGATTTCTAGTCCTATATTTGTCCTGCTCAGATATTCTCTATTCCACCCAACTCATTCACTTTAACCATACTTATTATTCACATATCGTTAGATCCATAAAAACGAAAAAAATTATGAGTGAACGCTTCTACGAAGCAGTGACTTAATGATTGAAAGGTTAAATTTTCAGCAAAGTCACAGCTTTCAACAAAACCCTACCTGTTTAATTTTATTTAATCAGATGATTAGTATTAGCAGCGGCCAGACAAGAAAGCTAACTCAATTATAAGTACATAAAACAGTACTGTGTAAATGACTATTTTTCAGTCAAAATTACAGATTATGAAATCCTGAGCACTTCGTTATGATTGATATCAGCATCTCGCAAAACTGATCTTTGTCGTTTGTTCAGAATGGTTGTTTTCTATGGGATAGGGTTCCCGACCCCATGCCAAACCCTCCTCTTTTACCCGAGTTTGTATCCAGCAGTAATTCTAGAAGAATCGCAGGCAAATTTATGATGAAATTTCTACTTTATAAGTATTTGTGTATAATATTCAGTGATTGGGTATTTGTATAAAGCTTTGTAACAATGTCTGGTTCTTCTTAAGATAATGAAAGCGCTCTTGCAAACAACTGTTTTGTATCTCAATTGTCCAGTGTGAGTCTAGAAGCAGATGCCTAAGATCATAAATATATATATATATACCCCACATGTCGATACAAACCATATGTTCACGCTTCCACCTAGTATTACAGTTAGTTTAGAACAAAACAATACAATATACCGTTTATCCATATGATTCCCCAGAAATCTGTAGTGAAAAAGATATCTCGGTGCGAGTTGGTTGTATTCTTATTCAAATTACTTTGTTAATCATTAAAAAATTATTCCACGCTACAAGACAACGAATAATAAACTCCTATCTATATATTGCTTGAGATCAACGAAAAACGTACTCATATTTTTTCGTCATGCCTATAGTAGACTAGTTTCATCAGCTCACTAATCAGTGAAATATTCTAACACAGTCCTTAACACCATATACAATAGGGAATATTGATGAACACTACAAAATCAAGAAAATAACGTACCTTCGAGCAGTTTTTAAATCTCGACATGCCATATAACGTTGAATTTGTGTTTGATTAGCACCGAATATACTAAGAACCAATCCGGTCCCACCAATAATTAAAGTCCATAATGTATGTCGTTTAAAAGGATCAATACTAAAACTAGAATAATATATAAATAATGAAGCACTTGGAAAAAAAATTTTTTAAAGAATGGAACTTTTTATCAAAGTAGTATATAGATGTATGTTAGTAAATCACAAAATAATTTTGATATGAATCTACTCTAACAAAGTCAAATACTCTTAAGAGAGAGAGACTCCCTCAAAATTCCATAGTAGTCAATTAACAGATTATACTTTTCATCAAAATGAATGATGCATAATTAATGTCTAGGAAGTTATTGAAGATGACCGTTAGATAAATGTACCAAAAAAAAACAACAAAAAAACTGCAAGCCAAATAACAAATACTTAAAATTTAGAAGTAGTAAAACATAGAATATACAAAATAAATCCGTTTTTAATCTACCAAGTTTAAAACAATTAAATCATCTCCATTTTCATATAATATCTCATTATTAAATATAATAAGTAATTCAAGTCAATTTTGTTAACCTGAAAAAATAATATTCGGTTGAAATACAACTTACATTGATTAAAGCATAGAAAATCATACTTAAATGGTAAATATCCTTTTAATCAATGGGTTCTTTATAGTTCTTACTTCATATTGAACACCTTAGCGATCATGTCAACAAAATTTCTAATCCATATTATTATTAATCCGTAAAAATAAATTTAGGAAAATAAAGATGATTCTATAAAGAAACCTTTTTTTTTCTATAATGTAGTTTATAGTTGACAATAGACCATAGAAATTTTGTTCTAATTTACAGTACAGGAATTTTTGGCAAGTTAATGTTGTATCAATCGATCTACATTGATGTGTTTCGCAATAATAATAATAATATCAATTAAATAGTAGTATTATATAATAAGGATACGATCCTACAATCGACTATAACAATGATATCGGTAAATCGATGACATAATCCAAAAAAAAAAAAAAGAGTATCAGCTAATTATAATTATCAAAGTAAATATTACAAACAAAAATAAGAACAATTAGATTAGTAGCCATCAAACTGCACAAAATCTAATCAGATAATTAATGAAAAGATAAACTTTCATTACAAGTGAAATATAAATAATAGTGATGTAAGAGTATAATGATGAAAATGTCAGAATTATGTAAGGGCAAAACAGTACAAGAAATTTAGAAAAAATAAATGAGAATGAAAGTTTTGTTTTAACTTCCTTTTGGATATAGTCTATCTCGATGCTCAACATAAGGAGAAAGGCTATTGTAATTTATTCTGAAAGCATATGTTCAGTTTAAGAATATATATAGATTTCGAAAGATAAATATGTAAACCATTCGGTATATTCATGGAAGTATGGTGGAAAAATTGAGAAATTTTAATTTAATTTCCCTTTATGTTCAATATCAATCAAGTAAGCACAAAAAGTAACTCAATTATAAAGTATACAACAGTGTAACAAACTCAAAATTATATGATTTATGCATGGTTATTAAACGTTACAAAATGTATTATATATAGAGAATAAACTGGTAATTGAATGAAAGGAAATCAACGGTACAAATTATTGGTCAACGGTTTCTTTAAACTAATATATCAATTTGATTGAAGAGAAATGATGCAATTACTTTCATGCTTTGAAAATATGTAACGGTTATATTTTAATTTCAGTATCTACAGGTTTATTACAAACCTACTGAGTAAATCTTTAAAAAAAATGAATGCAAATATATGAATTATCCCTGATAACGTAATTAAAAGCTACCAACAGGAACCACAATTATATATATATATGGACTAACTATGAAGATAGCTTGATTATATTATTGACGAGAATGATATACAAGTTGAAATGTGCATGTAAAACGACTTACACAAATTAACACTTTTCAGCGGTAGAGAAATATATCAAAAATCAAACATGATATGTGTCAGCTCTTGCTATACGATGCGATAACATGAAACACCTACAACATAAGCGAATACTATTTCTCCCTAATAACTGCGCTTATTTCAATTATCAACAATCTGAAATGCACAAAATTCTGAGAAACGTTTTATACAACCTATAACAATGATGCTGCGATTTGAATTGTCATGAGTTTGTACACAGAAATTCGTGATGTTCTTGAAAACTACCTAAAAAGAATGAGTTTTGAAACATTATAAATGGAAAAAGGATTTATAAAAATCAAGTAAAACTGAATCACTTTGTTCGACTTTCCTGCATATAACCATATCAACTTTAAAATAAAATATTATACATGACAAATGAAAGTTAAGGAATTCTTCGGATCAGTATGAAAAAGCTATTGGGAAAAACGGTAAATTATCACAAGACATAAATAATACTTTAAAGGTTACAATTCAGATATATAAAAATGTCCTTATCGGCCCGTTTCACCGATTGTTAAAATTTAGTTCTTATACCATGGACCAACTTTTCCTAGACAACACTATAAAACTAGAAGACATTAAACAGCTGGATCGTCCTAAGATATAGGGCCACTCAGCAGTGAACATAGATGACTTTAGCAGGGACACTAGGACGAAACAGCTGTTCAGCCTTCCTGTGTTTTGAAAGCTATCTAAAGAAAGTTAGTTAGTGATGTGAAACTCTAAATGTAAAAACTCACTTAAACATATCACATAACGCTCTTACTCGAAAGATTGAACACGCTGACCGTCTATTACTATCCCCCATAGACGTTGGAATCCACCAACTTTTAAAGTAATTAATAGTGTGATTAAACAAAAACCACTGATGAGAATAATCAGTTGGAAGAGATCAACCCACACTACTGCACGAATACCTCCCTAAAGAGATTTTAAACAGGCAAAACAAAAAAAACATGGCTGTTAAAATTTTTACAAATTGTACTGTTAATAGTATAACAGGAAAGATTCATTAACAAATTGTGAAGCAGATCAAAGAAAGGAAAACTCATAATAAATGTAAGATTTTGATGGATTATTTCAGAGAAAATTCCGTTTCTGTCAAATTCTGATTAGACTAATTATTATTTGACAGATTATAAATTCATACATTTCACTCATATCATTAATTGTAATGTAATAGTGACACCGAAAAAAAATAGACCTTTAGTATACGTATCTAGTTGTCACCTGTATTGATGTTACCATGGTTTTTAGCGCCATTCAAAAGAATGCGTCATCTCTAATTCGAAAAAATAGGCCAGTAACAGGAAACGAAAGCTCTTTTGAAACAAAACGAAATCAGTAACTAAATAAATAGACATTTTGATATTTAAAGGAGAAGGAAACGAGACTTTAAGTAGTTCTGATGTGTCGCTCAGTAATATAAGCTTATTCAAGGAATTAACCAAAGATAAATACAGTCAGAAACAATTCTGTTCAATAATGTTCAGATTTCAATTTTATATACAGTGAGAATATGAGTTATTTACTATGTAATATGTTCAACGTGAAACGTGTGGAGGTCTATGTATGAATGCGCGTATTATTGTTATTAAAATTTAGAGGATAAATGAAGTCTGGGAATAACTTGAACATCAATCGGCGACCGATTGCTTCCATAAACTTGACCACAAATTTCTATTAAACTGTTTGCTTTAATGGTCATAAACTTTTACACATCAAATGGGTCAGCTTTAAAACTCCTAGAACAACTAACAAATGTATTTAGATGAATTATGTAATGTTTAATGGGAATTTTCCACCCATTTTTTTTATCTTTACAGCAATTTTCATTTTCGACCCTGCGACACATCCTGCTTTTATATATTTTTTATTTTAATTAAAATAAATTTAAATCGGCAAGCGAGATGAAAAGTCTCCATTTCCTATGATTTGTAATACGAGGTGAATATAATTGAATGTTTCCGTTCACACTAAAGAGATAATTTAACTTACCCTTCAAGTGCAAGTATTCATATACATATCTTTGAGGCACACTTGAAGCGTGATGACTAATCAGTTAGTCATAAGCAATGTATAACCTGGTACATATGTGCATCAGTTCAAATTACCACATCAAATCAGCACAGTGAAATGAAATCATTAAAACCAATGCCAGAGTCATAGAAGTAGTAACAGTATCAGCGGTAATGGAAAACATTAGGCATAGACAAGATAATCGGAGAATGAATTCGCGGAATAAAGAAAATAGGAGGTAGTATTTAATCCCCAGATCTAAAGGAAGGTGAAGAACGGATGCATCTGAACCATTAAGACAAATTATTGACTGTCACCTAACTCCTTTTAGCACTGGTTACAGTATTCTCATAGGTTATGACGGATGTTGACACTACTTATTTGCTTAAATCCAAACAGATAAAGCAAAACCCGAATATGTAATTCATTGTTTAGGTTATGTCCCGATAAGAATAATGAGTGGTAATTTTTGGGATCCCATTTACGTCGCCAATTGTTATAACTTGTGGTGTGTGTGCCCTGTTAATGGATAACGTCACAATACCGCCAATTGTGAAGCAGTGACTTATCGATATGATCAATGATGAGTAAAACCCGTACGAACATCCTAGAATCCTTATTAGTCCTGCTTTGCGCCTAACCCAGCCAGTTGAGTCCAGAACACCAATCTCAGCCTCTGCAATATGTATTTCAAACATACTCAGTTTACATACAAACCAGACAGACCACAACGCACCATAAAATAGAAAATAACATTTATACAAGATTTGGCCTAATGTAGCTGTGAATGTGGGGGGGGGCAGAGATTAATAGACTGAGAATAATTAGAGAATGGTAAATCGTATAATAACAGTTCATAGGTTCAAATAAAGCTTATAATATGAGAGACATGAATATGGTTAGTTATTTACCAATTATACGATAAAAAAATATACGCATAGAATTGATCCACAAATGGATCTCAAAGTTACCATTCATTGTACTTAACGGGACATAACAGGTTAAAAATCATGCTTTTAACCACTAAGTTATCACTAGATAGATGCTGCCTATGAACTAATTAAAACCTTTATTTTTCTGAGAATTCAAGTATTCCTTTAACATCATTACTAAATATGTCAACATATGATGAGATAATCAATTTTTTGAATCAACAATAAAGTTATTATTATCATTATTATTATTATTATTATTATTATTAATATTATTCTAACTTACAAAAGCTGTATAAAATGTAGCCACTAAACCAGTAGACAATATCGATATCCAAATAGGTAGACCACTAACTTAAAATCAATATATATAAATAACAAAAAGAAATAGATGAATATAGAAAAGATTTTTTTGAAAAATAATAATAATAACAGAATTAAATAAATTCATTTTATTTTCAATTCATTATTGAATTCATTAAATAAAATAAGTTGAACATTTTCTAATGAATAGAAACATGATCTAAATTTCACGTGACTTATGCAAAAATGTTACTATGTAATATATATATATATATATATATATATATATAGAGAGAGAGAGAGAGAGAGAGAGAGAGAGAGACTAATTTTACGAGAAATGGTCACAGTTCCAAGGAACAGTAACCAATCAAAACATGTGTGTATTAATAAAAATATTTTTTTTTAAAAATATTGATAATAATCAATCTTTCAGATCATTTTTCCAAGTTAACAAAACAATAACTCACCTTGACTGAATGCCAAAGCAGGCGCATACAATGCAAGAGCAATGTAAACTGTCTAAAAGTGTTAATTTGAAAGAGATAATAAAATAAAATAAAATCAAAAACACAGTAAATAAATATACAGATAGATAACAAAGAATCATTAGTAAAACAGAATTAAATGATGGAATAAAACAAAAATGATACATGATAATTTTATGCCATTTAGAAGAATAGCAATATTACAGCATAATCGATAGATAAGTAATAAAGGCTAAATAATTTGACAGAGATTGCTACTATGTCAACAATTATTGTGTGACTATATCAATCCTATATGACATACAATTTATCACATGACGCGGATCAAATTACAAAAGTAAGGTCACTTGAAAAATATCTTTAAATTTAATGATACAAATAACAAAACAAATGAAAAATATTTACAATGTCACTAACTTCACAAGAATGAACAGAAATGGAGAATGATACAAAGATTTGAAGATTCTATATTTTATTAGATATAGAGTTTTCTGTGTACACTGCCGAGAAGTCTCAAACTAATACGACACAGTTATTTGATTTTCTTCGATATTTGAGTGAATATATGATGAAATCAACTTTTGAGTTAAATAATTTCCACCTATCTCATATTTTAACAGAGTTTATAAACCAAAGAATGATAGGTATTAACTAAGATAAATCTCACTAGACGGTACATTTTTTTTTCAAGTAATCAACTTATACTCCAGTTATCTACTTATTGAAGAACAACTAAAAATGTTTATCTAAAATGATACTATTTCAAAGTAATTATTTATGTAACCATAAAACTCAATTAATAATTACTGTAAAGTAATTGACATACCATTTGTAATAAGAACACAAGTGAGGCTGTCCATCGAACAAGTTTTCCAAATCGCATTTCTAAATACTATTTAATAAAATTTAGGCAAAATACAAATACAATACAAATTGTTTACAGATCAACAATGATATAGATATATATATAACAATCTTAGGGAAATCATTCATTAATAAATTATCTATAAAAAAGGTTGTTAAATAACATAAACACTTTAAGAAAAATGTTATTATAATTTGGATAAAACAACAGAAGCATAAGTGAATATGCTTACATTTTCAACTTTAGAGAATTCATTTGTGCACAGTATGTACTATGAGCTAAAACTAGAAAACTTTTAATGTAAAACTAGAATATAAGTAAGTGCTTAACATTTATGATGAATATTTGTTTCAAATTAGAACACTAATAAACGATATATTTAAGTCTAGTTATTAATATTCTACTTTAGTAGGAAAGTAACCCACCTAAATTAAGATTTTCAAATTCCTAAGTATGCAATGAAAAGATCTATCAGACTGTTCAACGATTAATATAGTGCTTTGCAATAAAAAAATGTATAGAACCAGGGAAATAACAAGTATTCTCACTTCATTAATAGTGTAAGTATCTAAATATTAAACTGTAATTTACAGTTGCAACAAGTGCGTGATAAATTGCAGAGTGGAATGTAAATTAAACAGCATCCAGATAATTTTGTATTTTATGAGTGGATCGGTGACCGTAGTGGTTGAACTACACCGTTTCAAATACTTTGATTTTGACGATCGTTCAGTGTTACTTCATTTTTATACAAACAGTTTGCTTGAGTATATAAATTCGTATGTAATATATGAGTTGCATAAAATTATTACGTTAATTTTCCGATCACATATATTTCTATGATTATCCATTTGTTTGCAACAAATGTGAATATGAGATTATATAACTAGTATTTCTCCCATGATCTATGTAAATTCATGTTATAAATAATCAGCCATCGAAAGAAGTTTAAAGGTTAATTCAAGATTTATGGTAATACGGTTACCACTACAGCAGACAACAAAATATACATATCAAACTTAATCAACTAACTTCATGAGCACTGTTCAATCTGAGTTTATAAAATACTGGCATGTAAACATATGCAGCTAATGGAAATGCAATACAATAACCTCCGACCAATAATATGAATTGAATACCACATTGATAAGCTTCAGATGCAGTGCCCAATATACCGACAGCTGATAAGAAACTGGCCATTACACTTCCAACAATAGGTAACAAAGTCAAATTACGATCACCTAAGAATAATTCTTCTACGTTCATTTTCTTTCTCACTTTTGATTTAAAGTTGATACCACGGAAACAATTAGTTAATTTCTCAAAAATCACATCATGATATCGATGATAAATCCCAATCAGAGAGTAACATATAAGTGAAATAGCGAAAATTAAATAATCTGACCAATGGAAAGTTGGCAACATTTTGTATTACAGTTGACTAGAAAACATGTAAAGGTTAACAAAGTAAACATCGAATTAGTTATCACTTTAAAATACGTATTCGGTAAGAATTAAAAAAACAAGATATTTATGACTCAACAGTTTCACAAACGATTCTAAGATCAGAAAATTTCGAAGCAAAGCTAATTGTGGTTATCAATTCATATTTACGTTGGTTTTTTTACTCTTCAGAAAATATCCTTAAAAATGATAAACGTGCGATAGTTACATTTCAATCACCTAGACTACAATGTTCCATTTTTTAAAACACAGTAATCTTATCTTTCCACATTTTTTTGTGTAGGTTTTTACAATTACATAGACTTTAACGTTATAAAAGTACCAAGATCACGAAAAGTGATCTCTCAAATTACAAAGCTACATTTAATATCTATTCAATCCATTTCTTTATAGAATGAGTGGCACGTTGAGGAAGCTGAATTAATCATTATTTTTAATGGCTTAGCAAAACTAACAATATTACTTAGCTAAACAGGAAGACTTCGGGAGTTTGAGAAACTCATATTGTCTAGACGTTATTATTGAATTTAACCTATACGTACGTTTTTGATGTTGCTGTTATTGGGTATTGAAAAAAACCTATTTAAGTGAACTTGTAGGGGATAAAATTAAAGAAAAATGTGATTTAATAACCCATTGATCAAACGACAATCAGCTAAAACAACTGGAAAAACAATTTGAAACGGTTAACAGTGCTAAACCATTTACTCAGGACAACTTAGTGGGCGGAAGTAGAAATAACAAATAGTGATCAAAGATATTGAGAAGCGTCAACAGCAAGCAGACGCTGTATTTGTGTAGATGCATCATACACAAACAACTATTCGGTGTAGACTACACTTCGTATCTACAGATCGATAACATAAATGCTACAGGTTAGTCGAGACAAATTTGTGTAGAACGCAGTATGAAATAAAATTGACCAAAAAAGTGAATAAATCTCCAAAAACGTGATCAGGAAGTAAAAAACGATCATATAAACTTCTTTAAAAGCTATAAAAATAACGGCAAAAGACAGGTTCGATCTTTAGTTTTTACTTAATAGATAAACCAGGTTAATGGAGGAACTAGTTTAGACTACTGTGATCTCAGGGTTTTAAACAGATTCAATAACTGACAATCAGTTGCATTTTGCGTTGCGAGTTGGCATTTCAAGAAATCCGGACACATATTTATGATAGTTGAATTTGATATTTTTATAAGAAACTTTGAAAAAAATATGCTAGATTTTTTAATCGACCGGTATAAGTTACATATGTTCATAGATAACTCTGATTGCGAAGTGACCTAAAATTCAAATACTCCACCCAGAAAGACAGATAAACTAGCCTCTAAAAACTTTACTACCCTTTCAGTAACAAAAAAGTCTTATAAGACAGATTAGGTAATAATATCTCATTAAAAAATAATAATATTGCTCTACGTATTTAGATTTTATAAATCTAATTCATCATTCGATAACAAGTACTGAGAGCATTTTTACTTCGATGTTTATGTTACGAGTGTTGCAATATTTGTCTAACATTTTAAAAACACTTCAGACAAATGAAATTTGGAAAAAAGATGTGTATGAGTTATAATTACAGAGCAACAGAAGACGACATAAAGAGATTTTAAATCATGTTATTAAAGCTATAAGTCTTATATTCCTGTTCATGAAATACTCCTCACTGATTGGAAAATCGAGGTTAATATTAGAATATAGCATCAGCGAACATTATCCGGATAGTGGATACATTATGGCGAATAAATCCAAAAAATTGGGAATTCTTTTCTGAATTTAGGACCATAATGCAAAATAGACAGCACAAGCACAATTGAAACTTTAGGGCTGTTAAACTATGAACTAATTCAACCAGATTTGAGGTACTGATGTAATCGAAAGATGGTTTCAACGACATTCTATATCTTTATTTAGAAGTAAACAATTTGAGCTGACCGATACAGTCGTTACAGCAACCCATTTAGTTTTCAGAAATCAAAATAAAACGCTGGTCATTCTGTCCAATACTTCACTGGGCATCTGATTAAAAATCATCACAGAAAAAAAATGTAATTTTGGTAGACATGTTAGGATGTCAGTCACGCGATTAATTTTATCGCGGAAAGCTCTTGTTTGACCATGGTCCTGAACTTTCTGGTGGACTTGGAGATCAGCTCCTCGGAAAGCAAAATCAAGACAAACTAAAAACTAAGTACATCTAAGGTGTAATCTTAAATTGTTAAGTAGGATTGTTACAGAGAAGGTGAACTTAGAATAAACTACGCATAATCTACTCGCTAAAGTGATTGGTGGACATTTTCAGGCTTTTATTAGTCAAAACATCGACATAGGATAGGTTAATTATTTATCGTTACCAACACGATGTTGTCAACAGAAGTAGTTGTCACTGTAGACTTAACTCAGAAAAATGACTTTCGTAGTTACTTCGAATTTTTCTATTCAGTTGGCACCATAGTAGTGGAGTTTGGCAATATATTATCTCATGGAAAGTGAATATGAAGTATTTGTCCATTGTTCACGCTCCTACCGATTTTACTATCAATCATGGTCAGAAAAAATAGGACGTGAACATAGCTAAGCCAGTTACCTTATTCTACGCTAATCCTGAGGTTGCAGCTTGATGTTACATTCTATGATTTTCTAAGATCACAGACAAGTTTGACATTACGGTATAATTTACGAACACATAAGTTATTTCATCAATATAGAACTTTACAAATAATAAGTAAAAGCAAATAGTTCAAGAAATTGCAAACAAAATGCTTTAATTAAGTAAACGCAGTGAGGACATGTGGAATTAAAAAGAAACACGTACACTGGACCAAGCGACAACAGACAAAATACAACTAGAAATTGCGCTTTCAAGGTCACAGAGTCACATCATTCATGGACTTGAAAAAACAAATTCCTTCGATTTAATTGGTAACATATAGGAACTTTTCGTTTTTAATGATCCAAGTGATTATCAGCGTCGCAACAATTCAACCTCTTTGAATGCATCCGGCACCTGTAACAGTTGAATCGTTATACCTGCCATTCTCATTCTCCTCATAATATATAAGCTGAAAATACTACGGCCTTCAGTTGAAAATGAAAAGTCAGGTATGGTGCGTCGGTGAAATAGGCATAAAGTGATTCATGGAAGATACATAATCAAGCAACCATATATACCCTGGACAGTTCAAGCGAAGAAAATCATCCATTCCTGTATAAAACCTGACATTGGACATTTACCAAGACGAAAAAAAGAAAAGAAACATTTTCATCGGCCCTATCATGCCGAATTAAGTGAATATATAGAAATCCAATTTGACATTAATCTTTCGCAACTGTTCTGTTCGCCACTCACTTGACACACTGATTCCCGCCCATAATCCATTGCTGCACAGGCGCTTCTGATTTTCATTTGCCAGCTGAAGTGAAAACAGGCCTCAAGTATATTTGCTATCCATGTTCACAGACCATATTTTATCCCTATTATTATGTGTTGTGCCATATCCATGTTATTTCGAACTACCAACTACTTCTTATAACTACGGTTGACAAAACCAAAATATGAACACGCTTCTTACCGACAGTTTAAGTAATATCCCTTTTCCTTGCTGTTATTAATTGACTATATCATTTGTTGTCTTTATTGTTTTGCAACCACACCATCATTATTTTATTATTGACATATTTCGTCCGCCATTGCATCGTTTTGACAAAGGACTAGGCCTAAAACTAATCTCAAGTAATTAATCAGTCGCCATGGGCTTCGAACGACGTCCTTAGGGCACAAAGCACTTCAGATAGTAGGAAAAACATGAGTGGAAAAAAATGCACCCAAAAATTATATGACAATTTGCATTACGTACTGCTACCATGATAACTATTTTACTCAGAATGTTACTTAGCCTGAGTGAGTTTTTCGTGCCTGTAGGTAACCCCTGTTTTACTGATGGAAGAAATTAAACTAGTAGTGAATAGGTCTTTATTTAGATCGTGTGGCAGTCATAATGAGGTGTGCGATTACCTGTTCGAAGACACAAGGCTTTTCAACATTCAATATAAGATAATGGAAAATATAATGCCTACACAAATTAAGGAAGTGAATGAATACTTAATCTCTACTGTTTTGACATATCCATAGTTGTTTGAGGTCACTTCCTAGCCAATCAACCCAAGCTGTTACATTAGCTTCTCACTAGAGTGGACTTTCGTAGGAACGCCGGTTCCATTAACCTATTTATCAAGAACATCTATGTTCTATTTCCTCAGCCCAAGAGGGAATTACCAACTCCCTCAGTTTCCAAGTTTCAATCGATAACTACTAACTCCGTCATCAGTCTACAATAGTCCGTGTATGTCTTTTCATTTACTAGCTCTTTATTTATTTTGTAGCAATTAATTTTTGTCCACAACTATCGCTGGAGGTTTGCCACATGCTCTATGTATCGTGATCAGAGTTTGTAAAAATTAAAGGATGAGGAAATGAGCATTCAGGAGGACAGAGGTTTGAGTGCGTATGATGCCGGCACTTTGTTGCTCAAATATTAGGAAAAATAAGAATAAAAGGACGAATTAGCATGCTGAAATGCCCTGGCAAATCACGTTGAAACACGTGTTAACTGCTTAATGTATGATCAGTACGAGTGTTTCCCGTTTATATCAATAATAATCAGATAGAAAAGTCACATGTGTGGTTGGTTTCAGTTATATGACAAACAAGGAAAAAATATATGTCTTACATAAAAAAATTTCTGCATACTACTAGTGGTAAGTTCCAGAATTTCGTATGTACTACTTAAAATAATTGGTTTAACATGAGCGCGGCCGTGAGATTTATGTCGTAAAGTCAATGTTCTGATTACTGAATGGATCGCTTAAAAAATGAGTGAAATCAATATAACTAATATAGTTAGGTTATATGTAACATACCATACGATATCTTCAGTTCGTACCTTGATTTTTTTATATTATTTACTTGAACACATAAATATTGGTACAAAGGGCCACCGAATACATATATGCCACACAAGTCACTTCATATGTGTGTGGGCTGTGATACTTCTCGGGTTCTCAGCCAGAAGAAGGTGGCTTGCCTATGGTGCCATACTCGAAGCTTCCAACTTAAAGGTCTGATCCATAAGGCAATGAAACGACGTCAGGAGATGCAATCTCATGGTATCCGGTCACCAATAATTTGTACATATGCCATTTGTTCCTTGAAGATCCTTAAGCTTATTTTCAAAAATGGTTTGTGATCAGGGTTTTACAGCTCCCCTAGGTGGATTTGTAGTGGTATTGAGCCGTAACACGAGACAAATTGAAAAATAGACATTCAACATTAAACGCTGGGAAATACCGAACAATGAAGAAAGGTGGGAACAGTGAATTGAATTAATACGAGTTAATCTTATGGCATGGCTCGACCATGCAGGCGTGGTCCCTTCTGCTAAATGTTACGTAATGTCTTTTATTCATATTAAATATATTGTTCCATCTCTAGCCTAAGCTTGTTCTCTATCACGTATTGGTAATTATTACAATGCAATGAATTGGTGTAGACGATGATGTAACTTCTATGTAAGATCTTATAGATTAAGCAGTTACATCATGATAAATCTACAATTTTAGGATTAGGTCTATTATTAGAGCAGTGCTAATATCATAGTAGACCGTAATTCTAAAGATTCTCCATATCTGCCGATCTGATTAAGGCATCGGACATTCGCTTTTCGTCCTCTCAAGTTCGCAGGTAACAGTAATGCCACGAGAAAGCTGAGTATGTGTTCCCTGGCAGTGGTTATATAATCGTGGCCGTGCGAGAGCATTTTGAGAGGGAGAGTTAACTCTCCCCAAGGGGTGTTTAACTTCCGCCCCATGTTTATGATAATAGTATGAACTTTATTCAGTGTTTTTATAAAGATAATCGTGAGAAAACAACACTATTTTTGTAAAGTTATTAGTCAGATTATTGACTCTTTTTGCTGCAATATTTGAAATTTGTATATTCTTCGTGTATTTTCATGTATTTAATCCAGATCCCGAACGAATACTGAAACATACAATTGATTGCACTTCGAAGGAAATCGATCTAAAAGACCAGTATAATGAATCCTGCTCAATCAAGCATTTGGAATATGCTGACGATCTTTGTATAACAACTAACGACACAGAAAAAACTACCATATCACCAAATGTTCTACAAAAATATCTTCAAATATTGCACATGGAAATCCTCACATCAAAAAAAAAATACATGATAATAAATAAAACTGGTGACCTACTTCCAATAACCATTGGAAACAAACAAATAAAAGTCACCAATTTTATTTATATTGGCTCAGTATTAAACCACAAAGGAACAGAAGGCAACAAAATTATGCACAACATAGCCAAAGCAAAGAACGCTCTCATCAGGATATCACCGATCCTAAAAAGCAAAAAACTAAATCTATCAACCAAAATAAAACTAAACAGAGCACTAATAATTCCTTACCTCACAGACTACAGTATATAGTCCTGAGAAGAAGACCGGTCGAGGCTGAAGGCCGTCCTCAACACAACACGCCGCATAATTCTGACAGAAAATGAATTAACATAGAAAAATTACTTGAAAAAAGTACAATTTTCAAATATTGCAACAAAAATCAAGCAAAATGGATTTAAATTATGGCATACGGCAAATAAAAGATCAGACAGTTTAATGACTAAAACTTTAACATGTCACACAGAAAACCCATCAAAACACCGAAATGCACATACAAAACATTGGATCAGACAAATAACTCAAGTCATAAATGAATTGAAAGAAAAGCTGCCTACAAACTCGCAAAATCAACCAACGAAGGTGTAAAGTGAATCCACAAATAAACATCTGCCCAAAACAATCGGTCGGAGACAGCTTACGTATCCATGCTAAAATGTAAAATGTAATCGAATGTTCACCGCCAAAAATTTTGACTAATCGACCGTTGCCATCTAACCTTTTAAGTCACTTGCTCAGACTTCTCGGTTTGTGTTTGGACACATGGTCCCGTAGTTGGTCTACGTAACCCTCTAAATTAATGTTTTAACTGTTAGCATTTAGAAGCATGATAGCCAGTTTACTTCCCGTATGAGTAATCAATTCAATTGCGATGCCGTTATTATAACGAGTAGTTTGATTTCCCATGTTTTTTAAAACCTGGTCCCATCACTAATAAGAAACTCTCCATTCGAAAGTCTTTCAAAGTTATCTCGAAGAAATCTAAAAATTTCATATTAGAGAAACCTGTAAACATCGAGACTAAAAGCATTGACAGAATAAAATCAGCTTATCTAGATCATATTCGATCATTTGCATTACAAAACATTCACAGAATGCAGAAGTAAAAACGAAAAATCTGCAAAAGCGAATAAAATGAAGAGATGAAAATGGCCTTAGGTGTGAAGAGTTACACCTGCCATGTTATATAGGGATGCTACCCCTAACTCAAGGTCTGAAAAGTCGGAGAAATGAATATCTTGCAAATGCTATGAAAATGATCTTGTTGGTATTGTAATAGTATTCCAACAGCAGACAGTGGGTTTTAAGCGTTCTTCAGACTGTAACGCTTCAGGCTTGGCTATTTCGTTTACTACCATACATATGTGTGGTATATTGTATAAGCTATATTGCTATGTAGAGCTGAAGGTATCATGTAAGACTGGAGGTTGACCATTGATACAAAGGATGGTCAAGCAAAATCATTTTGACAAGTTTTGCTCACTGCTCATACGTAAATATGGTTTGCTGTTTAACCGATTTCATTGATACATCTTGCCTTTTATTGACACATCTCTGTCGGATGTTCACCAGTTTAGATCGTTCTATTTTCTCCAACATATA